AAGCATTTTTTTGTTTTCATTTGTAGATAGGTGTCTATAGATTTTGAATATGAGGTTTGTTCTGAGGTTTAATATGTAATAAAGTAGAGAAATGTGTAGAAATATACCAAGGGCGGAGAAATATTCTTATTTTGTTACCGTCTATCAATTACGTTAATTAAAACACCAAATCAATTTCGTCAACTTTTATGCATTTCAATAGGGTGACATAACCATCATTTTACGTGTCTATAAAAAAACTGTTAACATTTACAGCAAAATGTTACTTATATAAGTTGTAATATATCCTTTACGTTACCATTTGCCCACAACTTTGTTTTAAAATCACAGTAAAGAAGTTTTGATGTTGTTTTATTTTTAAATACGTTCACAAATGAAATGACAATACACTTCTTTTGCTTTTTTAAAAAAAATTGCATGTTTTAAGATAATAAATAAAAAATTTGAAAAGAAATACGTGTCCGCTTTTATGGAACAGTAACAAAAATGGAATACTGGTAACAAACTAGGATTTTATAAGGCTAGTTTTCGAAGTAGTTCAAATTATAATAAACTTTGACCCGTGTTAAAAATAATTATAATTATATTTATATATGTAGATTATAGCATGAACTGCTGTCTAAGGACATTTAAACATTTTTCGTTTAAAAAATACCCTATTCAAATATTTAGGAACATTTACGAGTAGGTAACAAAAATATCGTTTCAGTTCTTTTTTAATCATAATGAAAAGGAGGCCTAACGGTTTCTAATTCAGTAAAAACCTTTAATAGCAATAATCACATTCATCGGCTGGATAGTGATCGTATAAATCATAATCNTACGTTACCACACAAAAGTAACAAAAAAAGAAGTAACAAATCAAGAACAACATGTCATTTTATTTGTAAACACATGCAACTCACACGATTACTCTTATTTCGATTTGATTAACGAAATCAAGAATGGGAGCTTTAATAGTAGGTTAAGTGAAATAACAATAAAATCTGCACTTATCTATGTTTTATGAGTAACAAAGGTGGAATTTTTTCTGACCGCTAGCTTAAATATTGACTTTTACCGTTCGTACCGGCATCAGAAAGAACTAGTCGAAATTAAAACAAGACGGATGCCAAGCCGGCTAATGCTACCATTATTCTAAAATATAATTGCATTAATCGATTCTCATATTTCTTCAGAATTATGGTAACAAAAACTGGAATTTCTAGGTGGAACTTTTTACGGGACAAGTTAAAATCATTAATTAGAAATTTAATTATCAAGTAATGCTAAAAAGGATGATTTAGGATGAATTGTGACTTATGGCTATAAATATATAATATTTTTTATTTATACAATGCCCATGTCCATTCAACTAAAGATCGATGGTTTGGTAAGATATTGAGATTAGGACACTGCACTTTTCATACAACTGGTTGAAGCTGATTTATGATATATATTTTTAATGAAAAAATCTCATTGTATTTATATCTGTTTTTTTCCTTTCTAATAAGTAGAGTAGTTATACTGCTTACACAATTTATAAAAAGGAGTAATGAACTAATATATTAGCCGGAACAAAATATTAAAAAAATGGGACAGAGGCTAAAGTCTATTGTGCAATAATTTTGAGAAATGCTCATGTAGTAAAAAGCGGTTATTTCAATATTATAAACAGACATTAGTCTGCTGAATATTTACAAAAAGTATATTTACTTATTGAGTGTAGGAGGAGGATATACAAATAATAACACTGACAAAGTTAAATTAAAAGTAGGAGGACACCATATCAAAAACTCTATCACAGTTAATCTCGTATTATTTACTTGCACAGAGTAGAATATAAAACATATAAATAAATAAAAATAAAATAAAAACTTAATACTGAACGCTTCTTTGCTACGATTTCTTCATAAGCCCGCAAATTTCTAATATGTTCGTGTTCTCTTCTGCCGATGATCAGAGGACACGGGATATACGCCATACTTCGTCCACCGTAATATCCACAACTTATTATCAATAGACGAAATTTTATTTATAATCAAAAATCTTAGTTTTCACAAATCTTAGCAAGCATCAATAGGTTCGCTCGTTCATCACAATAAGTCCTTTTCCGAAGCGGCGTAATGCTGGTTACATACAAACAGCGTTGGTTTTCTGCTGGAACCAGGGGGCGAAAATACAAAGCTGAAAGTAAAAAAATATACTTAATAAAACTTCCCAATACATATCTAATAATTAGAAAAAATAATATTTATTAGATAAAGCTAAATCTTATATCTTTAAACGAGCAATCATTGTTTTTAAATATATACGTATATAATCTGAATCTCGAAAACGGCTTCAACGATTTTCATAAAATTTAGTATACAGGGGATTTCGGGGGCGATAAATCGATCTAGCTACGATTTATTTTCAGAAAATGTTGTTTTATTCGTGTTCTCAATAATCAACTTTATCGATAATTTTAATTTTTCTATAAATAACCAGTTCATATTTTTTTATTATTCTGTCCGTAAGATCGAAAAATATTATTCATATTTCATCATTTTATCAATATGTAAGTAATTCGTATTCAAATATAATATCTAAAATACACAACTCATCAAAAAAAAAACAAGCAAAGCTCGGTCATCTGCTAGTATAGTTTTTAAATTCAAAAATACAATATCTATGTATAAATCTTTGGTGTATATAGATGGGTAAACGAGCTCCCGGCTCAACCGATGTTAGGTGGTTACCAGAGCCCATAGATATCACCTCGTGAATCCTTGAGACATGAGGTCTTAGCCTCAATTTTATAGTATAACAATTGACACGACCCTTCAAACAGAAACGAATTGTTGTTTCACGGCAGAAATAGGCAGCCACCACTGCTACTATATCTATACTTCTATACTTATATTATAAAGAGGAAAGATTTGTTTGTTTCTTTGTTTCGGATAGGCTTCCAAACTACTGAACCGATTTGAAAAATTCTTTCACTGTTTAGGAGCTCCAGTATTTCCGAGTGACATAGGCTATAATATTTTTTGAAAAAAGTTAGGGATCCTTACTAAAACTCCAATAATGTAACCCAAGGTGTAAAAAAATCACCTAAAATATTCTTTACATCGCATTCCTTGCGAAAACTATTTACGATAGAATAAAGTAATCGATACTTCGATACTATACTAATATTATAAAGAGGAAAGATTTGTTTGTTTGTTTGTTTTGAATAGGCTCTGAAACTACTGAACCGATTTGAAAAATTATTTCACTGTTTAGAAGCTCCAGTATTTCCGAGTGACATAGGCTATATTATTTTTTGAAAAAAGTTAGGGATCTTTACTAAAACTCCAATGATGTAACCCAAGGTGTAAAAAAATCACCTAAAATGTTCTTTACATCGCGTGTCCTGCGAAAACTATTGATGAAAGAATAAAGTAATCTATACTTCTATACTAATATTATAAAGAGGAAAGATTTGTTTGTTTGTTTGTTTTGAATAGGCTTTGAAACTACTGAACCGATTTGAAAAATTCTTTCACTGCTTAGAAGCTACAGTATTTCCGAGTGACACAGGCTATAATATTATTTAAAAAAAGTTAGGGATCCTTACTAAAACTCCAATAATGTAACCTAAGGTGTAAGAAAATCACCTACAAAAATTCTATACATCGCATGCCTTGCGAAAACTATTTACGATAGAATAAAGTAATCTATACTAATATTATAAAGAGGAAAGATTTGTTTGTTTGTTTTTTTCGAATAGGCTTCCAAACTACTGAACCGATTTGAAAAATTCTTTCACTGTTTAGGAGCTCCAGTATTTCCGAGTGACATAGGCTATAATATTTTTTGAAAAAAGTTAGGGATCCTTACTAAAACTCCAATAACGTAACCCAAGGTGTAAAAAAATCACCTAAAATATTCTTTACATCGCGTGCCCTGCGAAAACTATTTACGATAGAATAAAGAAATCTATACTAATCTATATCTATACTCTATACTAATATTATAAAGAGGAAAGATTTGTTTGTTTGTTTGTTTCGAATAGGCTCCGAAACTACTGGACCGATTTGAAAAATTATTTTTCCATTAGAAGCCGACATTGTCCCTGATGAACATAGGCTACTTTTTTTTAATTTATTTGATATTTTTTTATTTTTTGGTTTCATGTGTGTTTAATGTTTCCGAAGCGAAGCGAGGGCGGGTCGCTAGTACATTATATAACTATGATTCATATCATATTATGTTCAGCTTGGTGAAACTGCATCCCGAGTCAGTGATAAAGAGATGATTACATTAAATTTCAAGTTAATATAAATCAGATTTATTATATTTTGTTTCCTGATTCACTGGTCGCTTTTGTTAATTTGTTCTTGTGAATGCCCAGCGACCTCTGAAAGGTTCACGAGATGACTTGGGTAAAACTATTTTACTCTTGTATTAAAACTTGTTGATAAGTAATATAATAACAGTAGAATCCCTCGAGCCTGTACTTTAAAGAAAAGTATTTTAGCAAAAAAGGAAGGAAGGTAGCTAGAGAAGAGTAATAGAATATACAACAGAAATATGTAGAACTGTCTTTATTTTGTTTGCATAATAAAAGTGCTACTTACTCATGATCTACTGGACAGATTTTAGTACAGTTTTCACTGGTCAAATGTTGGCTTTATTTCATCAAAATTGCAGATTTCAAAAAACAACATCTTTTGGATTTAGTTTCCTGTTAGAAGTTCCATGGCAAATAAAGTTATAGATATAAAAGTACCTTATAATTAGTTCCCACCCATTCAAGTGATTTTGGCTTCATGTCTCAATTCAGTAGGCAGCGGCTTGGCTCTGCCCCTGGTATTGCTGAAGTCCGTAGGCGACGGTAACCAGGTGGGCCGTATGCTCGTCTGCCTACAAGGGCAATAAAAAAAAAAAACTAACTAGTAGTTTTAGCTTTTGCTGACATTTCTGAATCTGATAAATCTCACTCACATATTTTGTTCCTATAATCTTTCCTATTAATACTTTGTAATTTTTAACAGGCTATCGACGCGGGCCTTTCGAACTCCACTGAGCTCAGTGAACGCGTTAAATACCTGTGTGAGGCATGGAGGCAAGTGCCCTATCTCTGCTTGTGCTCCGTGCCTGACACCCAAACACATCTGATCAATTGGATACAAAGATACACAGCCAGAAATGTATTCCAGGTTAGTACTGTTTTTTATTGTGTAGATCGGTAAAATAGCTCATGGTGCACCTGTTAGTTGTGTGGTTGCCGGAATCCACAGACGTCACAAGGAGAATACCATCAGCCACCTCAAGACATAGGGTCGAGATCTCAATTGTGATGTATAACGACTATCCGACCCTTCAAACCAGAACGCATAGCTGCTTTGCAGCAGGGTTTTGTTACCTACCTGTGTGGGCTTCCGAGATACCCAACTGCATCAGTAAAGTAATTTATTTTATAAATGTAGTATTCTGTAACTTTCTGTTAATTCCTACTGTATTGATCATATTTCATGTTGTGAACCTGTAGTGGTTAATAATTTGTAATTCATTTGTAAAATACAATAAAATAATAAACGTAACATATATTTTGAACTGTTATCTTCTGAGTATTTTTATATTCACTATTATTTTTTTCATTGCGCTCATAAGTCTGTCAGCCCTATCCAATGCTTAAAGAAGCCCAAGATGGGGGGGGGGGGTATTACTCGAAAGAAATTCATACAAGATCTCCCCTGTTTCATATCTCTTACCTTTAATTTCATTTTCCAGGAAGAATGGCGGACTCCGAAAAGTAAAGCCGAGCACAGCAAACTCAAAGAATCCATAGAAATTACACTTCGGGAGGTGAAAACCTCGATAAAAAACAACCATGGCGAGTGTCCACAGTGGAAACGTCTACTCTCTGCACATGGAGAATGGTTCATCAGGAACATGGAGAATCCCTGGGATCAGCCTGTTCTCAAGAAGCAGGATCCGATAACTGCCGAAGAGAGTAAGTTTACTTGTGTTTATCTGTATATAGAAGACAAGAAAACATTCTGATTCTCAAAAGTTTGAAAACTTTTGAACTAACTTTTGGAAAAGCTGAATGCTGCTAATCAATTATACTTATTACTAGCGGCCCGCCCTCGCTTCGCTGCGGAAACATTAAACGACGTTATGTAATGCCGCGGGGCGAAGCTAGTCTAAAAAAAGTAAAGCCTAAGTTACTCCTTATATCATCAGCTACCTATCAGTGAAAGTCCCGTCAAAATCTGTCCAGCCGTTCCCGAGATTAGCGGAACAAACAGATAGACAGACAGACAAAATTTGTAAAAAATGCTATTTTGGTATATGTACCGTATATATACATATTCATATGCATGTAGTAAAAAGCGGTTATTTCAATATTACAAACAGACACTTTAATTTTTATTTATATGTATAGATTATTTTTTCCTTAATCTTTAGTACTAGAATGGCTGAGGGACGAGCAAGCGGTGATCTTCACGACGCGGCTGATTCAGCTGGCCGCTTCAAAATGCGAAGTACTAGCGCTTCGGCTCATCTCTACGATCATGGACCGTGTACGCGAGGAGACCACCGTTGTGCCGGACGCTGACGAGGCTGATGATTCTAAAGGTAATATCACCTCCCTATATAGGGATATACGACAAAGGGAACTGGTACAAGGGAACAGGTTTACTGGTGGTAGGACCTTTTGTGAGTACGCACGGGTAGGACCACCACCTTGCCTATTTCTGCCGTGAAGCAGTAATGCGTTTTGGTTTGAAGGGTGGGGCAGCCGTTGTAAACGCCAACTCCTTAACACCAGGTGGCCTGTGAGCTCGTCCACCCAACTAAGCAATAAAAAACAAACAAAAAAATGTTTCTTTCATCCTATCATCAATGCCACTTATTCATATAATAAATAATTTCTATTTTTTCCTATGAATTAAGTACAATATCTTTGAAAATTTGTTTGGATTGTTATACACTGCATTCATAGAAAAGTCTTAATGTGTTCAAGTTATGACTACCTTCATGCTTTGAATTGTTGAAAACAAGATCATAATAAAAGTAATATTTGAGTAGTACAGAGAGTAAAATAAAAAGATGAGCTAAAGTGTTTGAATTAAGCCAATGATGATGTCATTTGAGCACAAACAAAGGTTAAACATTGGTAATATATTTGCTTCAGTCTTTGTTTTTTTTTTGCTTAGATGGGTGGACGAGCTCACAGCCCACCTAGTGTTAAGTGGTTAGTGGAGCCCATAAACATCTGCAACGTAAATGCGCCACCACCTTGAGATATAAGTACTAAGGTCTCAAGTATAGTTACAACGGCTGCCCCACCCTTCAAACCGAAACACATTACTGCTTCACGGCAGAAATAGGCAGGGCGGTGGTATCCACCCGCGCGGACTCACAAGAGGTCCTACCACCAGTAGTGTACTCAAGGAAAAAAAGTCAATGCCCATGGATAATAATATATAGATAAAACTGAATAATATGGACTTATAGTGTATGTTCCCAGCCAACAAATTGAAATTAAGTAGTGTAATAGTTTTGTTTATTTGTTAAACAGATAAACCAATTCCACAAAGTACACCGTCAATCTACGAGGACATCTTAACAAAAGAAGCAGGCTTCACAAAAGAAGTTTGGCATTTTCTCACTGATTTGGAGTTTGTACTGTTACACAAAAGAAATCAGCGAGAACAGTGTATTAAGCTGGTAAGTATTATAATATTGATTTTTTTCTCTTCCTTAAATTAAAGCTTTAGTGACTTTTAGTTTAGTAAAAAGTTTTACATTACGTGGTTATTTATTTAAATGTCGAAGGCAATAGGAGGCATACAAAAAAAAATTCTCAGAATTTACTTAAATAAAAAATTATTTCAATTGTAGTTTTCTAGTAACATTATGTTTATATGTGTCCATATCTGATAAAAACTATGCCCTGCATAACATTAATATTTTCATCTATGTAGTTTAGCTTTTTGTGTTACCTAACGCTTACCTCTGTCACAACTTACAGCATTACAGCCATCTCACAACATTTTTTTATATGTTAAATTACAGGCCAAACAAACACCACTCCGTGGAGCTCACAAACTTATTGAAAGACTTCGATACAGACAGAAGACACCGGCACCAGATAAGAAATTATGGAAGAATGCCTCAGAAATTGCAACTTTAATAGCACAAGTATGTCAATAAAAAAACACAAAATTTGTAAACTTTTATTATAACTGGTGGGGAAGCCGATTATGAGTCAATATTAATTGTACCCATCTGCTCAATACTTTATTCTTCTATGAACTAGTTATGCGTTCCAATTTGTAGGAGAGGACAGCTACTACACTACAATTTAAAGTATTTAACTTCGTGTCTCAACGATGACGTTATGATTTCTATAGGCTCCTGACATCACTTCACATCAAATTCTCCCCCCCATTTTCCGGTACTATAAAAAAATTAAGACACTATACAAGGATATTAGCTGCTACTGTTATCCTTTTCTACTGTGTCTGGTGCAGCCCAGGATTTAGCGGTAGGCAGCGGTTTGGCTCTACCCTTGGCATTGCTGAAGTCCATGGGCGACGTTAACCACTCACCATCAGGTGGGCCGTATGCTCGTCTGCCTACTAGGGCAATTAAAAAAAAAAACACCATATTGGACGTCGGCTCGTCTACACACCTAGTATAATAAAAAAATGAAGACAATATACGAGGACACTTAGCGGCCACTGTTATCCTTTTTTTTCAACTGTGTCTGGTGCAGCCCGTGTAACATTTAGTACCGGTGTGTGTAGGTGGTGGTGGTGCGCTGCATGGTGGTGTCGCGGTGCGCGGGCGCGGTGCGGAAGGCGCTGTACCACTGCAGCGGCGCCCTGGTCGCGCTGCTCGGGCCCGCCGCCGTGCCCGCCGCCGCGCGCGCACTCGCCGCGCCCGCCGCCTCCGCCGCGCACCTGCACACGCTCGCCGACGCGCACCACGAGCAGGTACCCACCACCTCCGCATCACGACGCGTCCGCTAATTTATACGTTTGTAATTACTACTGTTAGAGGTGGACCCATACGAGAATTAATCACGTATTCCGGCATGATGAATTTGACAACTCTTATAATGAGATTTGACATACAACTGGGAAGAGCTTATACTACAGTCGAGACAGTTTGTTAAAACCCCTATTTGTGAAGTTCGGTGGCATACACATTGTGATTTATGTAAGTTATTTAGAACATTAAAAAAGCACACAGAAAGTAGAATGTTCCTAAAAAGTAAAAGATAGCAGTAATGCCAATAATTCGCATTGACACGACATATGTAGATATAATTGTCGTCAATCAACCAACAGTTTTTGTCATGTACACATCCCAATTATAACGATTAGAAATTAGCTAACGCACCCGTCAATGTTCTTCTTGACTTATACTTTATACTTACTACAAAAATAAACCTTGTGATCAATGAAAATATATTTATTTTATTTCATTATATAATCTATATTTATTTAAAATCTTATTAATCATACACTATTTTTTTTTAAATATATTAAAAACACAATTTTTAAAAACACTATATTATTTTTATTATATTTATGTTATTTTTTTTAGAGTTCAGAAGAGCTGAAGCCGTTTGTCTGCGAGCTGTACGTGCGCGCGATAACGGCCGGCATGAACGAGCTCGAAAAACTCAAACTGAAGACTGAAAAGGTAACAGGGACGAAACTCGTGCTTTATGACAGTGACGTAATGTGCATCATGTCGGTATGATGAAGCACCAAACATGGTCATACACTTGCGAACATGGTAACTTGTAACACACAATATATACAATGAACAATATATGTACAATAAATCGATATTGTTACTGTCATTGGCGGCTTGAAGAGTCCACCATAAATTCGGTTATATAAATGGAACCAATTAACAAAAGTATATTAAATCAGCTAAGAAATAAAGAAGTAAGGCATTTTAATTCTAAACTAAATAAATAAATCTGAACTATGAGTCAAAGGGACAGGGCTGTCCTTATGAATCTCAAAGAAGTCTTAAAAGCTAATGTCTCGTACAGTATAGATATACAGTAATAGATTTACAGTAGTCCTTTGTGAATGTGTAATATTTCATTGATGTTACCAAATCCATAAACTGCTACATTGCCAATAATGTTTATTTATCATGCCAAGTGTGGAATGGGCTTTTGTTTAAGAAATTTTAAGTGCAGATGACTTGATGATTGGCTTGCTGTCGATTTATATATTTTACAGAATTCCATTAAATCTTCTAATATGTAAAATATAATATTCGCTTGTACGGATCTGAGTTCAAATTTTGTAAAGCAGTTGTTGGCACTACCGGTAAGGTTGTTAAAATACCATTAACGTAAGAGGAAAGGAGGCGAGCGGGTAGTTTAAAAAAATGGGTGTGTTTCATTCATTTAGCTAGAGTCAATGCCATAGTCAATGTCAATTATATGGTAAATAATAAAAATTAAATTCCAGGAAAGAGAAGCTCGTTCGACAGAACAAATGCTAGCTCTATGGTTCGTGCAGTTAAGCGATTTGCTGTCGTCGAGCCAACGTATGAAGTGCGAATGTATCTTGACCGCTTTCTCCGTGCACCCCTCTCCCCTCATGTACGAGAAGATTCAGGCGGCACCAACATTGGCGCCAATTGGTCTGGTAAGCATTGACTTGGTTTGACTTTATCAGGACGTAATACCAGAAGAGGAATAATTCCCAATGACTGAACATCCTACTAACGTTGTTATGTATAGAGCTTAGAGGCATAAGGTCGAATATGCAGTACTTCAAGTTGACTTATTGAGTCATCGTGCAAATCGTGAGAAGTCTAATGGATTTAGGCAGCATACGACCAGTCATTGTGACGAAAGTGATGTTGACATATCGTCTTCTCGCATCAAAACTGTATAATCTCAAAACTTACTAATTTTACAGGAGAGTGTTTTAAAAAGGTTTAATATGTGATATTTTTAATATTAATCATCTTTGCAACACATTTTTTATTTTTTACCAGTTACTAATGTACTGTCTTTTGGAGTAAGATAAAATTATGTATTAATTTTGTTAATAGTAGTCAAAACATAGGTAAACTAAGCTACGGTATTTTGACAGTATTTATGAGAAAAATATATTGGTGATACCAAATGTTTACGCATGAAAACTCAATTTTGAATATTTTAGGAAATTGTGCACTGTTAATGTGAAAAGGCGATATCTATAAACAGCAATATACTGACTATACTGAGACCTTAGAACTATACCTCAAGGTGTGTGGCGCATTTACGTTGTAGATGTCTATGGGCTTCAGTAACCACTTAACACCAGGTGGGCTGTGAGCTCGTCCACACACATCATCTAAAAAAAAAAAGGAAAAAATCGTTTCTTATTTGGGATATTTCAGGACACGCATGAACCACGAGTAGGAAAAGACACATCAGAATTTGGCAGCTGGGCGACAGACAGTCGCTCCCAAACAAACTTAGTGAAGACTTCCGAAACACTCAACTTGAAACAGTCACAGCACCAAGCAAATGTACTCTCCACAGCAATATTAAGCGAGGGCGAAGCCCTGGGCCTCAGTGCAGAGCTATGCCAAGACATTTCAGTGTTGTTATCAGGACCTCGAGTAAAGACACTCTCTTGGGACATGGATAGGTATGTAAGATACGTTTTTGAAGTATTTACTTTATTCCTCTTTCCATTATGTATTTAATTCACTGGGACTAGTGTTGTGTATCTATTTTTTACTTTAAAATAGCAAAGTTTTAGTTCTGCTGACCTATTTATGAAGTAATTTAGTATCTTGGGTCTTGAAATGCTAAACAGAATAATAGACGTGATGATTAAGTTAGGAACAAACTACTGATAAACAAGTAATAGTTGTGTGTCAAGGTTATCTCTGTCATATTCTCGCATTTAATAGTAGAGGAATTGGCTATTATTTTGTAAGATTCTCAGAAAAGACTAGATCCTTGATGTATTATTATCTCATCTATTATAAAAAAATACTTTTCTTACAGGGACTTACTACTTGATAACTGTAGATCATACATGGAAAGGACTAATGGGGGCACGAAAGCTCTCACCACTGAACTTAGGTACTTAAATTTGGACCCAAAGGCGTATCAGCATCTGCCTGAAGAAGATGACAATGAGAATGATGCATTCTATGGCATAGAAAAAGGTAAGTGAAAGGAAGACTGTCTAGATCTGTGAGACAAGTGTTATGTCTTGATATTGTATAATCTATCTACAGAGAGGTTATGGTTTTCTCTATGTTTTGTACTTTATGTTACAAGGAGCGCGCTCTGAATTGAATATTTCGTCTTCCTTTATAATAGTGCAACCTGAACCGGAGCTCAGTTTATCCATACTACCTTAAACAACTGATTTCATCCGGAGATTATCTCGGTAATGTGCCATTTAAGTCTGTAATGTCCATAAGCGGCAACTACTTACGACTCTGTACGCCGTAAGCGCGCTTACCGTTGTCGGCACTAAAACATTTGATAAAATCAACAAAGAGCAAATAATTGTTGCATAAATATGAAGATAGTTTTAACATCAGAAATAATATATCAAACATTGAGACACCGTATATTGGTGCAATCGTCTATGGTCGCAAATGCCTATATTTACATTTAAAACAAAACAACTATTGGGATGTAATAATTAACCAATTTAATATAAATTAACTTGTTTAAATATTTCCCACAAGGTTACGAACACCTGGTTGAGTTTCAAGAGGATGAGCCCGAAGAGACTTGGCAACCGACGACCGTACTTTACGACGAGACCTACAGTCCTTATTCAAGTAATATAGAATCAGATTTTTCCGTGTACANTTACATTTAAAACAAAACAACTATTGGGATGTAATAATTAACCAATTTAATATAAATTAACTTGTTTAAATATTTCCCACAAGGTTACGAACACCTGGTTGAGTTTCAAGAGGATGAGCCCGAAGAGACTTGGCAACCGACGACCGTACTTTACGACGAGACCTACAGTCCTTATTCAAGTAATATAGAATCAGATTTTTCCGTGTACAGACGAAAAAAGAAAGTAAAACCTAATTTCGAAAGTTCCGAAGAAGAATGTAATCCACTTAGTATCGTAGCAGAAACCAAGAAAAAAGAGAGACCTCACAGCAAAGAGAGGAGTAAAGAAAGATCTCAGAACAGAGAGAAAAGCAGTGAGAGACATCAGAAGACAGACCAACAAAAAAGTAAACAGAAGACACAGAAGAAAGAACGACGAAAAATAACGTGTGCTGATGAAGATCCCCTTGATATTACGGGACTCATTCAAGATCAAAAGAAGGAAATTATTGTTGCTAAACAAAAGAAAAAAGAAAAACGAAAAAAGAAGGAAGAGAAAATCATTCCAAAGTGTAGTTCTTTATCTCGCCTAGTCGGTAAGAGAATCACGAAAGTTTGCAAACCAATTGAGACATATAAAACCGCATCGGTAACAGACAGTGACTACGACAGTCAAGGCAAGTGCTCGCTCAACTCTGAGGGAACAGAAGAAGTCGTTTTCGATGGCTTGTACTCAATGGACGAACTGAGGTCTCCCGAAAATATTTCACAGACTGAAAAAATTGGACCATCAAATAATGAATTCTCCATTGCCAACAATATCAATAAATCCATATCTTCCAAACCCAGTTCGATACGGGCAATTCAAATACACCGAAATATGCAAACCAGCCATAAAATTCCTCCTAGCATTCATAATCCACGACCTATTTTCAAGAACGGCCCCGAGGAGGTGAAGAAAAGTAAATCAGTGCTAATTGAATATAGAAAACAGTTGAATTCTACCTATTCGAAAGTTCAAAAATCGAATAGTACCACCGCAACAAACAATTTAAACAACTCACTCTTGAAGCCCATGAAAGCTATTAAACAGGAAAGCTCTTTTCAAGCTCAAATACGACCTAAACCTGTTACCATACCTGAGATACCTAAGGTTTTCATTAATAAAAATCAATCTCAAAAGTTAAATGTATTAAATAGTGAAGTAAATAAAATACTTAATAAAACTCAAGCACCCTACCAAAGTCTGAATAATGAATCGCTTTTGAATACTCAACCTGCCAGTGTACATAGTGAGTCTCCTAGTTATTCACCGGCTGCATACAGACCTATTTATCCGATGAAAGAAAATAATGTTATAAAGAATTCTGAACATACATTACCTACGACTTACTCATTTCCACAAGCTTCCCAACCAACAGATAATACGCTTGATAATTTCGTTAAAGAACTGAAAGTAACAATAAATGCTGGTGCGGGATTATCAAATAGAGCTCTAACGCCTAGCCACAGAAATATTAATCCCCCAAACAGAATGACGCCTCCAATAAGTGCTACAACTAAGTCTGAAATTAAAAACAAATGTGCCAAACAAGGAATTCAGAACAAATCTGATACTGAAATAACTTTTTCACGTCTCAGCTACTTGCATAAGAACAAACAAAAAGTTGATGCTTTAATTGACTATCAAGATGCGATCCTCAAGGAGTATTTAGCACCGACGGAATCAAACAGGACATCCGCGGACCAGATTAATTTAACTGAACACCTACGAAAAAATAGCGCAGGACTCAAAACTGAAGCTAATAATCTTCCACCTAATACAAGCATGTCGGTATTGAGAAATGTAGAAACACCGAAACATAAATATCCATCAAATACAAATAGTCAAACTTCAGTGAATAATCTACATACCATACCTCGAGAGACGACTTCGGGTCATAGTTCTAGATATGACACATACAAGAATCTTCCAATGGTCAAACCCGACAATTTAACGACCTACCCTACAAAGACGTCTCTTTCGGAAAAAGACCAACAAGACATTTTACATATATTACGACAGCAAAACCATTTAAACAACTTTCAAACTGTCGTGAAGAAAGAAACGAATTCGGCCAAGGGAGATAACCATAACTCAGAATTGAGCAAAGATAACGCAGCACATTTCAGTACTCCTAGCACCTTTTTGACACCGAGTGCGCACCTTGAAAGGAAGATAGATAATTTTCATAAAACAGAGTATCAAAATAATAACCAGCAAACTAATAAGAAAAGCAAAATATTGATAACTGACATGCAGACTATTAAACCTCCTACTAGTGTTAAACCAATGCAGCCGAACAATGCCCCTAAGCCAGCTCGTAACCGCTCGAAGTCTAACAACGGAAATGGAATTAAAAAGTCGCCAAGCTCCGTCCAAGTTACCAAAGAGTATAAAGTAAAAAAAATGGACGACAGCAATCTTACTGGATCAAAAGTAAAACCCAGCACTGACTGGGAGAGTGTGATGAACGCTATTCGAGCCCAAAAAACTCCAAGTCGCGGACCCAAGGCTCTCGATCTAGGTTTGAATAGGAGTTCATCGGAACAAGCATTTTCAAACGTCCAACGTGATCAAGGTAGTAGTACAAAGATAAAGACCCCCGACACTGAAAGTAAAACTGTCAATGAAAGAAATTCATCATTAAAACAGACAACAAAAGTCAATACAAAGAGCGACTCCATTCGTAAATTACCGATCGACACGTGTACTGCAACTAACCCTGATAAAAAAATTAAAACGCCAAAGATGCCTGAGCCAAACTTTAGAAATACATCTAAAGAAGTTGCCCACCAATTTGGTTTATCAAAAAAGGCTGGCGTTGAATTGGGAGCGAAACAGTTTTCGTGTTCTCTGCCAAAAAATGATGACCCATTTATATCTGGAATAGAAAACTCTGACTATGATCTGATAGAGGCATTAATGGATGACGACCTACGACAGGAAATTGGCGAGTTGTCGTCTGATGAAGAATTCGCAACTTCGACGCACGCTGTCATTAAGAAGCCCCAGAAAACATACGTTGACAAAAGTTCAAGTGAGGCCAGTACGACTATAGTACGGAATAGTCAAGTCGTGAACCCGCATGATAGCAGTCGAAATGCTAACGATATTAAACAACAAATTGTGCAAATGTCAGTAATAAGGACTAACGACCCATCTAAAATTTACATTCCATCAGTAAAGGGGCAAACCACAAATGTCCCATCAACTGTGAAAGCGACAAATCCACTTAAGGATTATACTCATAACGCTAGACCTAATTTACTTGGCAATAATATGGCTGATTCAAAACTCGAAATACCTCAGCATGAGAACAAGAATGGTGCGACGGAGCATATTCAAAAAAAGAAGACGAATTCATATGTTGCACCAGTGCAACAACAAACTGCTCCCAACGTTGTTCTCCTAGGATCTAATTTAAGCTATGATCAATACAACAGAGTGCAACCACAACTCAATATTGAATTGGGATTGCAACAAGATCCCTACATAAACACACCTAAGACTGTGTACCAGCCGGCGCAATTTAAAAGACCAGTTATAAAACCTGTTATTATTAGTAACGTGCCAATATTGACCAACCATTTGCCGACATCCACATTATCTGGACAGTCTACTTCAACCAACACAGTGCTTTTACAAGGTAATCCGCCAAAATCCAACACCGCAGTCAGCCAGGTTTCACAAGGAACAGTAAATCAAACAGACTATACTTCGAATCTGGGGAACAGTGGATCATATCTTGTAGATTCAATACCATCAAATTCGCGTAAAACTCAGCCAATCAATCTACATAAAGACAGTGGTACTAGTATCATTTCAGGTACTTATTCCAATAAAAACAGTGACAAAAAAATACATATTTTAAAATCTCAAGAAAAACAAGACCTTCTAGTACATTCAGAGGGCTTAAATAAACTAGAACGTGAACAGCAAAAACCACAATGTCGACAGAAAACACCATCTGCTACTAATAAGAAAACAAAATGCCGAGGTGCTATTGTCGAATCGATTCTATCTCCATGTACACCACACGTACAAACCAATTCGACAATCAAACTAACAGAAACACAAAATATGAATTGTTTGTCATACCCCAAGAAAATTTCGGAACAAGATCAAACGCATAAGAGAATATTACCACAATCTTCAAACAATTCAAAAGCAGCCAGAAGTAACAGGAAAGAAACCAATCTTGATTCTCAAACAATAAAAAGTGTTTGCAGTGAATCGAGTCTGGAAAGATTGGTTTCTAAGAGAGTTAAAAAAATGGATGAACTTGAAATCAAAGATAAAATTATTGAAATTATAAAAATAAATAAAAAACGATCCAAAGCAAAGAAGGTTGTAACTGCTAACGAATCTCGTCCTGATATGTCTCAGTTTGCTCCTATAAACAATGACAAGGAGACAGAAGCTGCAAGAGGTTTCATTGAACCTCGTTGTAACCCTTCCCAGTCTGTTCCTGTTAAAAGTATGAAAGACACTGGTGTTATTTCTGTGAATGATGTTCATGCTGACATTTCGAAGCCAATGCCTGCTCAAAGTGTAAAGGAGATAGGAGTTTTAGCAGCAAACGAAGTTCGTTCAGTAAATCCTAAATTTGTACCTGTAAATACCATCAAGGGAACAGAAGTTAAACCATCAAATGATGTTCGTTCTGATATTCCCAAGTTTGCATCTGTTAAAACTGTTAAGGAGACAGCAGTTATTGATGTGAAAGATCGTCCAGAAATTCCTAAAGCTCTTCCTGAAGTTACTGTCAAACAGAGAGAAGTTAAAGCTTTGAATGATGTTCTTCTTGAGATTCCTAAGCCTGTACCTATTAAAAGTGTCGAGGAAAAAAGAGTTAAAGCTTCAAATAATATTCGGCCTGACGTATCGAAGTCTGTATCAGATATTCCTAAAATTATTTCTGTAGAGAATATAAAGGGAACAAGAGTTAAACCTGCAAACGATGTTAGACTTGAAATTTCTAAACCTATACCTGTGAAAAATGTCCAGGAAGCAGGAGCTACTACCACGTATGTCGTTCATCCGGAAATTCCTAAAGCTTTTCCTATAGTAGAAACTACCAAAGGGATAGCAAGTGAAGTATTGAAAGGTGTTCGTCCTGACGTTTCTAGGTCTATACTCGTGCAGAGTGTCAAAGAAACAGGAGTTATACCTGTAAAAGAACATCCTGAAACTCCTAAAGACATTCCTGTAGATACTGTCAAGTGTACAGGCGTTACAACTGCGAATGAAGTTTGTCCTGACATATCTAAGTCAATACCCGTGATGAGCGTCAGAGAAACAGTTATGGATCACGATTTGTTACTGAATAATTTAGAAACAAATAAAGAAATTAGTCAGAATGACACTTGTAAAACGCCGTTAAAGCATAATGGTGTGACAACTAGGTCTAAAACGTTTCAAGCATTACAAAGTAAAACCGACAAGTTCGATTTGGAATTGGCATGTGCTCTCGTTGACAATAATATTGAGTTTAATACGCCTAAATCATTAGAGAGTTGCGTGTCTGGCCCTATAAAGGAACAGGCACCTGCTAACAATGAGTCTGAATCTAAAGCGAATGAATTACTTAATAATAACATTCCCATACCAACTTTCCTATCAAGCTCAGAACAAAATTCTATTACCACTAAAACAGACATTACTTGCCCGCAACAAGCCGTCGTTCCACTACCACCAAACGAAAACGTAATTAATGTTGGAGATCATTTAGATGACAATACGATTGATTCAGACTGCGAACTTGTTGAAGAGACACCAACGTCAAACGAAACATCTGAAATCAACCATAAACAGATGTTGCCGTTATCGAAGAGGATTATAAATAGTGGCAATTCATCTTCGCAGAATGCTCCTAGTAGTAAACTGGAGCAGGTTAAGACTTGTAACAAAAATATTATAATGACATCCCATACCACACAAAATTCATTATTACGTACAAAAAAAGTAATAGAATACATCAAATTAATGGACGACGATGCTAAAGAAAAACCAAATGAATCATGTAATAAAAATTGTGACGTTAACCAAATAAAAGCATCAGACATTCCCCAGTCGTTCAAAGACGATTTTAAAATAGAACACTTGGAATCTGATGATAACGATTCTCTAAAGAAAATAATTAGAATTAAATCACCGAATGGTAAAACATTTAAGGCTACAATTTACGGAATGTGTCTAGACTTTGATACATTATTTGAGGAGCCATCTTTGCGGACAATACTGTTAAGTAACTTAGCTGAAAAAAAACGATATACTTTGAACTTTTTTCAAGTGGCTCGGGAGAAATCAAATATTCCAATCCGTACTACTGTTCAAGAAGTGAATGTGCAACCAATATCTACAGGAAAAGAAGAAACCATTGTATTAAGTGACGATGACGATGAAGAAGTAAAAGTGAACAGTTTTAAAACCGAATATGGACAGTACAATGTGCGAATTTCCGATACTACATTGATTGAGAAACACCAAAAAAAGTTTGATCAAAAATGTCGCGTGGATGTAGTTAGATTTAACTTTAAAGAATATGAAAATAAGTCAACTACCGATAAATTAAACTCTGTAAAATCCATTAAGGGTTCCACAGTTGATAGCTCGACGAATTTGATTCCACAATCTTTGTCGCAAACAGCACAGGTTGAAATCTTGACTGAAAGGAATAAAATAGAAACACATGAATGCAAACAGGAACTAAAGCAAGAAACTGTTGAAAATGATGTATTTGACAAAAAATCTTTAGATTCGATTGACACACAAAGCGTTGTGACGTCGGATTGGCCAACATCATCATTTCCGCCCTCGCCGACAAAGTCGAAAACTGTGAATAATTCTATTGGCAATTCTGAGCATCAGATGCATTCAGATCTGACAGAGATGGACACTTTTAAATCGAACCCATCTACGAATACTACATCTATAGGGGATATTGACTCTAAATCAGCAATTTCACAAACGTTATTAGATTCTAAACCAATTGAAAATATCTTACCAGATAACTTTGATTCAGGGAAATATTTGACAGCTGAAATACAAGATTCAGCTACCAAAAAGACTACCAGTGATGACTTGATATACGAACCCGTTTCAGTTCTAGAAAGTTCCATCTCAACCACGGAACAAACCGTTTCGAAACTTTATGATCTCGAAAAATCGTCAATGGAATTAATTTCTTCAGATGTTGATAGCAACTGTGTCTTTGATAGTACAACGGATGAAACAATACCGCTATCTCCCTTGATATCGTCAGACCGGGACTCGCCAACCGAATGCATTTTACCAGACTATAATTCTATAAATTTGTGTTCTTCGGACAACTACGCTATTGAAAACACAAATTTAGATTTTAATACATTGCTGTCGGATTCGGAAGCATCAGCGGAAATGATTTTACCAGATCGCAATCCCATGGAATTTAATGATAACACTAATATAACGAATAGAAAATCACTGAACATATTTGGAGTCGAGGACTCTACAAACGAGAGCGAGAATAGTCAAGGAGGTGCCGAGAGTATGGAATCGAACCTGAATACATTAGGAGATAATATAGCTGATCGCAATACAAGTTCTGTTCAAGAAACCACCAAAACCGATGATTTTATCAACCTTCCATCTAACGTTTGCGAAGCTAAGATCTTAGCCAGAAATGTAAACGTAAATTTAAAATGCTACGTAAAACTTACCAAATGCGACAAGCTGGCGAAAACTCACGAAAATCTTAGAATTATAAGAAATACTTGCTACGTTCATTTGACAAGATGTGACGATGTAATTGAAAAGCTCATGAGACTGAAATCGAATGCAGGAAACGATCCAAATCCGAGAGACACAGGAAGGTCATCGCCCTTGATGGAAGTTTTTGAAATGATTGCGTCTTTTCAGAGCAGGGTCAATGGTGAAAAACAACAAATGTTCCAAGCGTTAACTAGTAATTTATGTGAGGCAGACTGGTTAGTAACGAAACGAAAACTATCAAAAATAAGCATAGACGAGTTTTCTAATGAAACAAGAAAATTATGTATTAAAAGTGGAATCGTTGATAGCCAAGCAAATAAAAAGGAGGACGTTCTTAAAACACCTTTCAATAAAAACATTTCCGAAGACCATTCGATGATCTGTAAATTGAAATCAGTTGAAACGGTTATTATGCCAGAAACTAAGATTTCGCCACGGAATTTGAAAAGGAAAATTGATCAGTGTGAAACACACAATACTAAATTATCTAAAATGGAAGAAAAAACTATTTCTCTAGATAAAAATATATTACCTGAAAGGTTTACAGAGAAAATTGATTTTACATTTAATGAGGATTCTCCGCTAATATCTAGTGTACAGTCAGGGAGTCTAATCGAGTCTTATGATAAAAATGTAGAAGAAATAATATTATTCAATGAAATCAATATTGACGAGGTCGATTCTGACCGTGAAACTGTATGTTCCACTAATAGTATAAGCCTTTTAGCGGAATTTTTGGGCAGCGATGACGTTTTGGAGGTCGAAAATACAAATATGAAAACAAAAATGGAAGAATCAAAAGACGTTGTTCCGACTCATAATGTTTCACCGAAAACATTATTCCAATCAAAGGTATTAAATAGATCACAATCGACTATCAATTTAGATGAAAGTTCACTTATTCCAGAAGCTTCAGCTTGCACGGAAAACGTTACTGACGTAACATTAATGAGAGAAATGAATTATAGTACCCCGACAGGAACCAGTAATATTGGACCACTTATTACGTCGTCTATGGAAAATATACAAATATCAAAAGATATTGTGTCAGTTTTTGATATTGCAAATAACGGAATTGACGAAAATCAACCAATAGCATTCGATAAAAGTTATGATGAATTATCTCTTCGAAGTAATCTGGAAAATGAACCTGAAATCTCTGTTGAAAAGGATAATTTTAATAGATCGAATAATGTCAATGACGTTAAAATAAGTGAGAAAGAAACCAGTATAACAAATAGTTTAAGCATTTCCGATATAGTTCTCGATGATATTAAGGTGAACGATCTAACAGAAACAAAAAATGTTATACAGGAAGAAAATCCACAATCTGATTCTGTGACAGTGCCGATGGAATACGAGGACTCTACCCCTCTAGAAAATCAAACAACCAAATCAAATAATATGAGCATATCATGTATTAATTCTACCGGTAGTGTTGTTACAAATTGTCTACAAGTTTTAGACAAAGAAAATTCTATAAAGGATCTTAGTGTTCCTAGCGCAACTGAAAATAATGTGCGCGATGATAAAACAGACACATCAACGTTATATGATCATGACAGTGGAAACAGCAATCCTTTGAGAGATGATCAGCTACATCTAGACTCTAACAGGTCAAATGTTAGTCCAAACATCCTTTCTCAGGATATGGAAGTTGTAGTGATCGATGTTGATGATCGACTTGTTGATAAATACAATAAGGACAACAGTAAATATGCAAAAATAAGTAAATCATGTTTATGTAGCGACACAGAAGAAATCGAAATACTAAATAAATCACAAAATGAAAATCTTGATAAAGAAAATAATATTGATTCAGTGAACGACAAAAATATGCAAGACTATACAACGTTGAAAAATAAAGATATTTTAATATCTCAACATTTTCGTGAAAGCATTAATTGTAAAGGTTGTTTTTCTGATATATCGCAACTCGAAAACAAAGACAGTTGTAAAAACAGCAAAATTACACAGAATAATACTCATTGTAATACTTCAAGTACCATTGATGTCCATCCTGTTGAGAAAGAGATTAATCGAAACAGCTCTGTGAACGAGGAATATGATATGAAAATTCGAGAAAATAGTACAAACCATAAAAATGTTTTACCAAATAATATAAAGAATGCAGATTATAACGATTCCGATAAATTGAAAAACACAGTGCCCGACGTAAATAAACAAGACGAAAATAGTAAATCAGNTTCAAGTACCATTGATGTCCATCCTGTTGAGAAAGAGATTAATCGAAACAGCTCTGTGAACGAGGAATATGATATGAAAATTCGAGAAAATAGTACAAACCATAAAAATGTTTTACCAAATAATATAAAGAATGCAGATTATAACGATTCCGATAAATTGAAAAACACAGTGCCCGACGTAAATAAACAAGACGAAAATAGTAAATCAGCATCAGATATCGGTACTAAAAATAACGCACCGGAAATGGAGGCTTCTAAAAGTGATAATGCAGTCGAGTTTAAAATTAAAGATGTCGAAAATTTAAATGATGATTTAGTTATAGAAGGCGTAGAGTACCAAGATCCAGAAGTAGGAACATGTTACGTATTCTCCATTGTGGGAAGTCCTAACTTTATTAGTGAAAACAATGATAAAGTAGAAGAATCGCAATCAGATGTGGATAACAACTTTAAAATATCAGATACATGTGATAGTTCTGACATCGAAGACCTAAAACTGATAGTACCCAAGAATACATACTCAAAAAGAGGCAAAACAAAAAATGAGGACATAGATTTTAATGACCGAAAGAACAAACGCAATTTAAAAAGAAAATTGGATATAACCGATGTAAAAATGAAAGTAAAGAGATATAGAAAAGGCAAAAATATTGATTACCCAAAATTCAGTAAGTTTTCTATGTTGGAAACGAGATACAGTAAAGAATACAATAACTTAATTGACTACTACAGGTCTGTACAATTTTCATATTCTCGTCCGTTTCACATAGATCACATAAATGTCGATCTATTACATCAAAACTGGCCCATCCAAAGCACAATTAAAGATTTCGGTCATAGTACTGATATGAATTTATTCAGCGATTTAGAAATGACAAATACACCAGACCCACTGAATCAAACGTTGGCAGAAGAATTAATTGCTAACTATGACGATGTGGAAAACTGCACATCGAATGAAATTAAGGAAACAAATTTCAAAATGGGTTTTGGTGAGGAGTCCGACAGAGTCATAAATTTGGGATTAGACTTTTCAAAATTTCCGGCTGCGACTCTGTCGGACGTAAAGCAATATCAGCCGATATTACAGTCCGCAAACAGTATCCATAAGAACAACATATCTACGACAAATATTAAAAACGAACAACTGGAGGGTATTAAACGTTTAACTACATACATTCATTTAAAGGATAAAGTGAGAGATTATTTCCATAAAAATACCTTTGATCTGAATTTCGATAACGTGCACCATAAGACCTTTGAATCAAAACACCTTGATTGGGATACAAAAGATTTGTTGACGGATCTCTGTCGACCAGATTTTTTTAATCCCTTTCCGGTGGAACATGTTGTCCAAGTTGTGCAGGTGGGACAGCTACCCGTCAGTACTGCTGCCCAGAACCCTGTGACCTGCGACCCTCGAGTAACTCAAGTGTCTGACGCCAGCCCGTCACAGTGCTCAATGGAAAACAGTCCAAATGACGATTCTCAATCGGTAATCAAAACAGAATATACAGAACTCACCACAGCCGATTTGCCTCTATCATTGGTGCATGGCTACTCGCAGCATAATTTACAACATTTACAGCATTCTGAGATGCTCGAAGCTGACGGTGATATTTCCATGCACACCGAAATAAAGTCTGTCGTTAAAATCGAACTAGTGGAAGAGTTGCCGGAAGAAAAGGATGAAAGCGAAATCCCGCTAAGTAATGAATTAGAAGTAAGAACCATCAAAATAGAAAATGAAGCAGATTATTCTTTCGAATCCAACCATGTGTCCCCTAAACCAGAGCCAAGTCCAAGTCCAAGTCCGACAGCACCTATATACCAAAATGATTATCCTCCAGTGGAACAGGAGAAAGAATCAAATTGTATCACCGTATCAAAAGAATATAATGATAGATACGAGAAAAAAGACCAAATAGCTCACGCTATGACAGCCGCTGGTATACCAACTTCGCCAGAACCGGCCACTAGTCCCTCGCCTGATATGATGCCTGAAAGTATGTGTCAAGGTTCAATTGGGAGTCATCAAACTTCAAGCAATTTTCAAAAAATTAGCTCTGTGGCCTTACAACAGGCGCTAGCCCAAATCCTTCCACCGCCATTGAATCAGACTAACGTGCAAGAGAATGGCCAGCAAGGTTCTAATCCTTCGATAGCGCCACAAGTCTTGCATATTGTTAAAAATGCTTCCGGAAACCAACTAACTCTCGTAGATAATACACAGCAATCTGTTATAAATACGACAGGCTCTGCTACTCCAGTATTGCACATTGTACAGAACAAGGGTCCAACGCAAGCTAACGCGGCCTCAGCAGCTCCAACGAACACGTTCAGTGGACTGTCACTTGTCGATACTGGATTTCAACAAGGCAGTAACCAGCTCCTCCATATAGTAAACGCTGGAAATCAAAACAATAACACCGGGCAATTATTAAAGCGAGTGAATCTCTTAACGAACCTCACGAATGCTCAAGGGTCCAATGAACAGAAAATCGTGCAATTCGTATGCAAGTCTGCGGACGGAAAAGCCATTCAACTTAATGCACCGCATCAGCGCGGTATGGTCTTAAGATTGCAGCCATTTGATACATCTAATGTTCAAAGTAGCTCCGCAAAACCAACAGAAAACCAAGATCCAAATCAATCTCCTGCTTCCCAATGTTCGACTCATATTAATGATGCAACGTCACAACAAGAAATCAAGACCAGGTCCGTCTACGAAGAAAATTATACACAGTTTATAAATAATTCTACAACACAACAGACCGTTTCGGAATCTACCAGTCTACCGAAATTCAATCAAGCGTTTGGGAAGCAAGTGTTTCAAGACGAGACACAGAAACAGGACGAGATAACCAATAACAATTCTCATTTGCCGTCGATGAATCCGGAGAATTCGGAATGTCAGTCGAGTGAGAACTCGCTGAATCTCGAACACATTGATCAAATTAATAGCCCTCCGTTGCTGCTAAGGAAGTCTCCGGCTCGGACAACGCAGGCCCAGCCCAATCTCGTTCAGCAAATCAAACAGACCATGGCTCCGATAATGCACGGGGGAGTGATCTATACGCGCCAAATACCAGTCAACATTGGAGGTGGGCAGACCATCAACCTCATTACGGTTCCGAGCTCGAACGCAGAACACGAGGATTCGAATCAGAAACAGCAATCGGAAGTTAAATTTGTTAATCAAAACGCTGAAATCGATTCGCCGATTATTAAAATCGTCCAACAGAATCAAACCGCAACTAATGGCGACGCACATCAGGACGAACACAGTGCTCACGTCGGCGCGAACGCGGAATCGTCGAGCGCTCCTCCGCCGCAACCACAACCGGTCCTAACTCAAATGAGGATCAAGTTGCCTATGCTCAGCAAAAATCCGCAAATGGTATCAGGAGCTAGAGTCGTCAGACCCTCATTTTTTCAGATACAGAGAAACGTGATCGGTGGCGCTAATCAGCCTGTATACCAGCAACTTGTCCTCACAGCTGCTCCCCCGCTGGGACAGCAGACCATTAGGCTACCACAGACACAGACCAGGCCCGTTAAGCTACCGTCTGAGAACCCAACAGCTGAATCTCAGATGAGCACGTCGACTTTAGAACAATTGCGAGAGTTCGATTTAGTTCTAGAGCAGGTTAAAGAGAGGAGTACGGGTCAGCCGAATTCCACGAGCGCTTTTTCTAAACGTCATTCTTCAACGTCCGAGGCCTCTGATACACCAGTGTCGACCAGCTCAGAATCTTCTCAACAATCACGCTATTCCAGTACTAACCAAACAGTAAGCGCTGCGTTCACAACTAGAAAATCATCAGTGTCTAGTTCGTCGACCGCTAGCACATTTGCGCGATCCCCCGATTCATCCGGTATCGTCGATTCCCCGTCGTCATCACACGTGCACGTACCTCAACCAGCAAGGCCAGAAACGACGCCAACCGAGACCACTGCTCCACCCAAGCCCACGAAATCGACCACAAAGCCAAGGTCAAGACCGAAGGCTTCGTCGAATCCGCCCAACACTCTTAAATTACCTGTTCCGCCGAAGACATCTAGTCAAAAGCCATTAGAAGATGAGCAAACGACGCAAAGGATTCTATACATTTTAGCTGAATATAAAGAGCAAGTCGAGAATTCGCCGGATAAAGATAAGCCAGCTCCTCGTCGACGAACGAATCTACCGATCAACGCCTCTGGTTCGAAGAGGAGGAAAGGCTCGTTTTGCCGTCGCCATTGCATGAGTCCGATACAAGGGGAAGACTCGTGTCGGACAATGGGCTCTGAAGACAGCAGCTGTGGCACATCCCTCGGAGACTGTACCGAAAATGAATGCATACATTCGCCGCAGGAGAGTCCACGGAAAGTTGTTCGGCGATTGACTTTTGAACAGGACGCTCCATTGCTACAGCAGCGCCCCCAACCGAGGAACGTGATTCTCGCTGACGGGCAAACGATTACGCTGGCCCGCGGGACGGCTGGCAAGCCCACGACAGCAGTTTTGATGCCGGCCAATTACATTTTGCCCGTCTCCATGGTCAAAGGGGGGCAGCAGATCGCTATAGTAACGAATCGGGGGCCGAAGCTCCTGACTGTGACAGGTAGCGACGGAGCCACAACCAACGCGTTATTGTTGCAACGCTTGGTCGGACCGGCCGGATTGAAGCCGGTGCTGTCGCGACCCGGGGTTCGCCACGTACGTCTGCCGGCCTCAGCGTTGCATAACCTTCAGGCTTTCAACCTATCGACGGCTACGACGGTGCAGCCTCCCGACAGTACCGCTGCGACATCCTCGGCGCCCGACCCGCCCGAGCTACTGGACACTCGAGCGACCAGCTCCCCGTGGGCCGAGCGAGATTCCCAAGATCCAAAACCGGACAGCGACTCGAGTCCCGATGGCTCAGGACCTTGGAACTTGCCAACGTCGTCCGATCCTCTCGACTACGCCTACGAGGAGACTGTACGCACAGACAACATGGATCGGACAGTGCTCGTAAGTTGTGCATTTTATATTCAATCAATATTAAAAGCAAATAAACAGTTGTACATTCAATGCGTTACCTGACTGAATTAAAAAACATTGGCGACCGAATAATTTTTAATCTTGAAAAAAACATGTTTTGGTGTCTATTTGGACAATTTGATGTCTGCGGGCTATCAGAATACAATCTTGTATTCGTTTTGAGATCCATACTAGTGCCATGATGACAACTAATTCTTTATTAACCTCTTCAGGGACTCAGGGCTCACATGTGTACGTTTGGTTTATTTAATATTCAATTATTCAAATGTTTAATTATTCGCTTAATGACCCATTATCGTCTTTTCGCATTAAAAAAAAGTGTACAATTTCCAAAAATATTCGAAATTGAGCTAATATGCGGAATCATTTGGTATCACGAGTATTTTTCTCATAATTACTGTCAAAAGTAGTGTAATTCAGTTTTAGTTTTTTATTTTTTATTTACGTATTTTTTGACTACTATTAACAAAATTAATACATAATTTTATCTTACTTTAAAAGACAGATAATGTAACTGATAAAAAATAAAAATTAAATGTTGCAAAGATGATTGTTATTAAAAATATCACATGTTAAACCTTTAAAACACTCATCTGTAAAATTAGTAAGTTTTGAGATTATACAGTTTTAATGCGAGAAGACGATGTGTGAAGGTATAATATTTTTTATGAATATTTAGTACGTTTGCTAAATTTTTACTTATGAACAAGACAATAAGTTTTTTTTGTACTTTAAAAAATTCGTCCCTGAAGAGGTTAATGTTTTGTACTCGGTCGATGGCTACTTATTGTACTTGACGCACGTTTTGCAACTTCAGGACGCACTGCCCGATCGTTACACTCCCGATATGGAGGCCCAAAGGATTTTTGATAAGATGTTCGACGTTGACTCGAAAAAGTCTTTCATGGTCGATAGCCAGGACGATTCGCCGCGATGCGGCTACGATATAGACACGTCAGATTGCGACGATAAGGCTTACCATCAGGTGATCGTATCGTAGTGCTGACGCAGACCCCGAACGTTGTAGAACGCCTCTTATGTAGATCTGCACGCCTCCGATTTATTTTAACCGTTACCCTAACCGGACTGTTTCGCTGTGACGATGATCTTACAATAGATGCGACATTTCTGTCACCAATCCCGTACTGATTACAAAATCGACTGCCCATTAATTATACTAATACATGCAGTCTCTTTTTCACGTCATTCGCTTATGTATTTATCGAGGGGTGAAAGGTATTTGGTTTGAGCGACATCTATATATTAATACGTGAAGCAAAAAACTTTGTACCCTTTTTTACGAAAATTGCGCGGACGGAGGGGTATGAAATTTCCCACACTTATAGAGAATGAGTGCAGTATGTTTTTTTTTATTTTAAATAAGCATGAAGTGTCCACTAAATCTAGAAAAAAACATTACACACACTACCATGTATTTGACAGAACCACAGTGTGGACAGAACACATTAGATTCTTGGTTAAGTGTAAAAAAAAATTATTGCATAAAGTATGTGGCCATATTGAGAATGTCTATAGTGTAGTCTTGGCGAAATCTATGATTTAAGAAGTATAATAAATAAATACTCTTTGACAATAGAATCATACCAATGTTCAAATTTATAGTTTCAATTAATTATAGTCGAATTTCGACTACTGTGGGACAACTAGTTTTCCTTAATACGCGACATTTATCTTTGTAATTAAAGGTGCGTTTTATTTTGTACATATTAAAATCAACAATTTGATGTTGTTAATTGAACAATAATTAAGTTTACTCCATTCAAATAGCCGAGGAAGTTTTTTTTTTCTAATATTATTTTCTCCAAATTTTAAAATTTAAATGGCTCTCCTGTAAAGTTTTAAAAATGTGGTTTAAATTAAATACCCTTTCACCCGTCGTTACGTATAATCGAATCTCATCAACGGTAACAATAAATTTAATTTATAGTATGTTTGTTAATAGGGACCACGGAATCAGTAAGAATACAAATTGTATTTAACACGCCTAGGCATTCACTGGTGGTAGGACCTGTTGTGAGTCCGCGAGGGTAGGTACCACCACCCTGCCTATTTCTGCCGTGAAGCAGTAATGCGTTTCGGTTTGAACGGTGGGGCAGCCGTTGTAATTATACTCGAGACCTTAGAACTTATATCTCAAGGTGGGTCTCGCATTTACGTCGTAGATGTCCATGGGCTTTAGTAACCAATTAACACCAGGTGAGCTGTGAGCTCGTCCACCCATTTAGGCAATAAAAGAAAAAGAGATATTCGGTACACAATGTCGCATCTACACTCGTGTACACAGCGCGCGATTCTCAAGGGAGCGGTCTCTATTAGGCGTTATATTACTTATCGCCTCCTCTGTTCATTGTTAGTCTTTGAATGTCACATCCTATCGAAAAAAAAAACATCGTTTCCTTTAAACCATTCTCTAGTTACAGAGACTTTTTTTTTTTAATTTCAGTGCATGAAACATATCGTTTGTCTGTCTAACTATACATTATTAAAGTCTTATCCCGCATTTTGGTGCATGTCCCTTGATGTTTCGATATTTTGATTCTCAATGATGGACGGTATTTAGTAGATGTTGTATAAAAAAAAAATGTCAATGTTTAAGCTCTATATTGTTCATGAAAGAAACCTATTTTAGATAAAAAGTAATTTAACTAGTCAATGTTCCAACAGCTTGAGAGAAACAAAGAGGGCAACAAGCCCCGCCCATAACTGAAATAGGTTTGTATGAATAAATTGAATGTTATTAATTATTGAAGCTTTAGCTTTGCTCTCTCTCTCTCTCATCGAATCAATCGACTATCCATTACATTGTCTTCGTTTAACATTCATTAAAAGGCTTTGTTTAGTTCAGATATTGGAATCTGCTTAACGTAACGTAATTTAAAAAAGTTAATTTAAAAAAAAAACCCTTAAAAACTTATTGTGTGCAAAATAGAATTACTAATTTTTTTTCGTTATCCACACACAAAAACAATAAACAGAATAATAATTTAAAAAAATTAACTAAATAAATAATAGACTTCTAATATAATCCAATTTACGATATAAACATTGATTTCGTATATAGGTTGTCCATCGGAAGGATGGGACTCATCGCAGGCTCACCCACGTTTCCGCTGCCGCCCTCAGACATAAATACGCTATATTGGAACACGAATTACGTTTACAAGTAAGTAGTTACTAATACTGGTGGTAGGACCTTGTGAGTCCGCACGGGTAGGTACGACCACCCTGCTTATTTCTGCCGTGAAGCAGTAATGCGTTTCGGTTTGAAGGGTGGGGCAGCCGTTGTAACTATACTGAGTCCTTAGAACTTATATCTCGAGGTGGGTGGCGCGTTTACGTTGTAGATGTCTATGGGCTCCAGTAACCACTGAACACCAGGTGGGCTGTGAGATCGTTCACTCATCTGAGCAATGCAAAAAAATTAAGTCGATGAACTGTCTCTTTCTCTTCTTCTCTTGGTGGTGGAGCCCATAGACATCTACACCGTAAACGCCGCCACCTACCTTGAGATATAGTTCTAAGGTCTCAGCTTTTACAGTATAACGGCTGCCCCACTGCCCCACCCTTCAAACCGAAACCCATTACTGCTTCACGGCAGAAATAGGCAGGGCGATGGTACTGAATGTAATGATGAATGTACTGATGGTAATAGAAAAGTGTTATTTGTTTATTGTATATCACCTGAATGCTATGACGTCACAAAGTGTTAATTAAATTCGTAGAAATCCCTGTCTGAAGAGTGCGAGGACCTGGGCGTCGATTCGCCGTCAGCCTCGGAACTGTTCCCGGAAGCGGAACTGCTGTTTGGGTCGTCGCCGGCACACGAGCACACGCACGACCACCACACTCACACACGTAAATATATTCATTCGATTCTCGATTATGATTCGATTTTCGAAAAATCGATTCGATCATCGACATAGTGATGATTAACTGTTATACCCTTTGATTTTAACCGAACTAAATAAAACCTGGCCACGTTTGGATTGACCATCGTTCAATATATGATAAAAAAAATATTTATTTACTTATTTATTACACTTCATGTAAAATTTACATTGGCGGACTTAATGCTTAAAGGCATTCTCTACCAGTCAACCAAAGGTAGTGCAGAGAAAATAGTGGTAGGTGCAATGAAATTATTAATGAAACGAAATTATTATCCTCAATATTTTGAAAATTTAAAACATCACTTTATAATTAAACTATTGGCGCGTGACGTATCCCAATTTGATGATACTGTAAAAAAACTTATCTGAATTGCCAACAACGACTAAAAGTTTCGAGTTGGACAAAAACTTTTTTTTATTGTACCATCGAAAGAACGAGCTAACATCCCATCTAATTCCACCAAAAAATTAAGTGGTCACTGAAATATATAGACAACAGGCCAGCAACCATTTTGAGATTTGAGGTTTGTTTATAGTTTCAATTGTACTAACTACGTACTGTACTGTAATAACTACGTACTGTACGTAACTACGCAAATTACGATTTTTGCATCAGTAACCGTACTCGTCGAACTCGACAAAGAGGTCGACGTGCAACCTAGCCCATGCATCAGCCCGCTGAGTTTCTCGCCGGATCTTCTCAGCGGGTCGCGATTCCGATACGGTAGTAGATTCATTCGCGAAGCAATTGCTCTTGAGTTGTTAGGTCTCCTTCGGAGGCGCTCGGGCAGCTGTTAGCAAATCCCACCCCTCCTGGCTGAGCCTTTGCTCGCCCACCTGTCCTGGTGAAACTGGAAAGGCCTTCGGGCCACCAGTAATCTCTCAATCATAAAAAAAAAAAAAAACGATTTTTGCATATTTTTATTTTTTATGTTACACGATGTTATTCATTCATTGAGGAACTCAATCATTGAACATACAGTGTTAAATACGTATTTCATTTTTAAAAAAATGGTACCTACCTGCCTGTGGGATTTTAACACCGGCATAGTTCCGTCATTCATTTATAGAATTCATTTATATAAAATTCAACAAAAATATTTTTTTGAATGAACTCTGGTTTCACAGCGCAAACGACGATATCATCCAGCTGCATACCACAGCCAGACATGGACGACCAAATAGCGACCGACCAGCTTCTGCGGCCTCGAACTCATCAGGAACAAGACCTGGGACTGGGTCTGGAGGACGTCGGTATTGTCACTGTCAGCGAGGACGGGATGCAGGCCACCATCGCGCTAGATCAGGAGGAGTTCGCCCGGTCTCACCCTAACACCACCTTCCACAGTGAACCCACTGAAGAGGGAGAGGTAAGGACTTGTCACACAATATATATAATAACCTAAACAGTTAAATCAATTATCATTAAATGTTCATTTTAGTGAAATATTAAGTACTTTATTTTTAAAAACCAATTCAAATCTAATATTTTCAAACTGTAAGCTTGTTAACTTCCAAGATGAACATATAAGAATAATTCTTAGTTTAAATCTTATAATAATAAATCTTAGTTTCATCAGCTTTTAAGTCTGCAAAGCTTAAGACCAATTAGAATGTATGACATTGTTATTTGTATGTAGTCATCGTTTGTTTTGGCTTTAAACAACATCAGTTGTTTAAAGCTTAATGCAGCTTATCAATTTTACATTGTAAATTTTTATTTTTTTTTCAAAATATTCCTTCTTCAGTTATTATTATTTTTGCACGTGACTTGTGGGTGAAACCGGATAGATAACACTACTTTACAAGGTTTTTTACCCAGAGATGAAACTGATATGTATCGGTAGAGTTATAAACCCTTACTTAAAAACTGAAGCTGGAAAAAAATTAGGACGTCCAATTTTGTAAATATTGATTATATTTATTTTTGGAGTTTACTCCTTTAGAATCGATTTACATATATAGGCCCGGGGTATGAAAATTATGGGGACCAAAATCGTACTAGCATGTCACACGAAATGCGTTATCGCAGGTGACGCCGGGCTGCTGCGCCGGCAGTCCGCCACAAAGCCTCGTACTGATCGCGCGTTTCTCTCATTATTGTATTTTCATATATTTGTTAGTCGTTTGNTGATCGCGCGTTTCTCTCATTATTGTATTTTCATATATTTGTTAGTCGTTTGTTTTGTGTCTCGTTAATTTGTTAATAATCTGTAGTGTATCGTGTTGTCGTAATATAGAACTATTTCTCGTATTGTTTCGTTTAATTTTTTATATCCAGTAAACTCCAGTCGTGCGTCGGAGCGGACACACACACTTTTTTTTTATCATTTTCATACATTTATCTCAAAAACAAATAAAAAATGGGTCGTGTTACTTCCTCTTTTATACTGATTCATATCAGTTTCCATTATTATAGACCAACAGAAATTCGCTAACATATTTTTATCCCAAAATCCTTGGTATCTTTCCTCGAAAAACTTAAAATCCTGGTGAAAACGTTCGCCATGCTCATCACTCACGCTTCCCAGGTTCTCAGGAAAAAAGTCCAGATGATAATGTAAAAAATGATTTTTTAACGAAATATTCACTCCCGTTCTTTGGTAATTTCTCAGTAAATTGGAAATAATATCTGCTTAATTGTTTCCTATTCAGATTTATTGTTTCCTAAGAATTTTTTCACTAATGCTCTAAATGAAAACCAAGCATCTTTTTCGACATTGGATAAGTTACCATCAAAATTTTCATCCTTTAATATTTTTCTTATTTGGGGACCCACAAAGATTCCTTCTTTGAGTTTTGCATCAAATAAACTAGGTAAAATGGGTTTTAAATACTTTAAAGCTTGTCCATCTTTGTCAAGTGCTTTGACAAAGTTTTTCATTAATTCCAGTTTGATGTAATAGCTGTAAGCTTGGTAATGATGGATTAGGAACTTTTTCAGAATGTAGCACAGGTTTTGTGACTGGTGCAACATCAGGAAATTGTATGTGCTTTCGGTTTTTGTTGTTAAAACCTGTAGTTTCAGTTAGGCAGAAGTAACGGTCAGTAGTATGATTTGTTGGTTCTCTCCATTTCATTGGGATGCCGAATCGTAAATGTTTTCTTTTTCCTGTAGCCCAGTTCAATAATATACTTATGCAATTTTCGCACACTACACCAGGAACCCATTTTTTATCAAGGTTTGTTACCGATTTGAAAATAATGGAGCTAGGCTCGTTTTACGTGATTCAGTGAATGGTCTCTTCTTTTTTGACAAAATAATTTGACCACAAACATAGCAAAAGTTATTTGGGTTTAATTTACACTGCCTTGATGATATTTTAAAACAAATAAAAATGTTTGAATAGCACTTAAATGCAATAAAAACAATCTATAAACTCACGACATGTCTAACAAGGTAGCTTACTTAGGTGAATTCTGGTAAATGTGGTTATATCAAAAACTTGACGTGATACAATTATGAGACATATATTTTTGTAGTAAGGGGGTCGGTAGAAAACACACCCAATATGAATTATCTTTGGGTAAAAGAAAAACTTTTTTTTTGTAAAGCAGTGTAATTAGTGATAGAGCAGTAAATGCGTTCTTAAATTCAGAGTGACGTTTGTATTTCAGATTCAGCCGTTCACTATAGCCGGTTTCAAAGGACGTCAAATAACGTCGACCATATTCCACGCGAACCGTGCGCCGGCCACCGTGCTCATGGCGGCCCCGCAGACCACCGTCATCTCGCAGGCCACGCCCGACGGCACCGGCGTGCAGAACAACGTCAAGTACGACATCGAGAACATGATCGACTCGTTGCCCGACCACGGAGACAACGTCAACATACCGTCCGTACTCGTGAAGGAGGACGGCCTCACCCGGTACGACAACATCCTCACCGACAACAGAGAAATACACATTTCGAATACCGCCTCCGCGATCGTGCACTCCACCGGAAACGCCACCCAGGTGATCCGGAGAGTTCGCTACGAAGAGAAGAGGGAGAGGGTCAGGGACGTGCGGTACGCGGTGGACGAACCCGAAGCTCTCATCGCAGGGGACGACGCGAAGATGATGGGCGAGGACAGCTCCAGGGAGGCGACTTTAGAATCGATGCCCGAAGACATGGACGACGACCGATCGTCGCCCGAGCGACACGGCGACCTGTTCTGGGAGACGAACTCGGAGCGCTCCGAGGGGCGGCGGCCGGACTTCAGCAGCGACAGCGACAAGTGCTACGACGAGACCAACTCGACGGACTCGAGCGGGGCCGGCGCGCACGTGCGGCTGCACTCCGTCATCAAGGACGCGCGCGAGTGCACGGCGCTCGACGACGCGCACCCGCCGCTGCGCACGTACCCCGCCAAGCGCCCCTACCAGCCCGAGGTCAGCCTGTCGGGCAAGACCCGCGCCGGGGAGCGCCGCGCCTCCGCCCGAGGGGTCGTGAAGCGTGGCTGCCACTGCTGCTCCGGCGAGCCCTTCCCGCCGCGTACTAAGAAGCCGCGGCCCAGGAAACCGACCCTCGACTTCACTGCAGCGAACTGAATTGTCGCGAGTCTGCATTGTTAGCGTCGACGGACCTCACCACTCCTGCTGACGTCTTGGAAGTAATTGAATATGCAATTTCGAAAAGGGCATATCTCACAAATATAAAATATCTAATTAAATGTATATACTGACGTTTAAGATTTTAATTCCAGTAATTTTCAATTGCTAATTAAGACTAAAATGTATCTCAAAAGTTAATGTTTTAAATTTTACACTGTTTTAGAGAATAATCAGTTTTTTTTTCATTTGCTGAACATTTTACATTTTCAGAGATGTGCCCTTTTCGAAATTGCATATTCAATTAAAAACTGTACCAGAGACGTCGGCCAAGATAAATGTGATTGCGGTTACAGTGAAAGTGATGTTAAATTTAATCTACACGTTTATAGATTGAGATCAAAGATAGAATTAATTTTTTTAGATTAAACACAACGGCTTATGTAATTACCCTGGTTGACAATTGTACACCTGTCAGTTTCCCGAGGCTTCACAGCCTGCGAGCGAACTTGTTGTTTATTTTACTAGTTCCTGTAAGCGTTACTATAAAGTTATTTTATAAGTTTTACGTTCACCATTGAGTGCATATGTTTTTTTTTTTTATATTTTTGAGAAATGAAAACGTTTTTTTTTTTCCTATTTCCTCGTTAGTTTTTGTTATTGTAAAATAGTTCTATAAATATTGTATCGATAAATGTGATTGTATAAAATTGTATTTGTAAGTTAAATGTTTAATAGGTAAGAGTTTCATTAGGTGATTACTGGCCATACTCAATATGTGAATTTATTCGTCTGTTAGTTATAATATGTAGATTTATTTGTACGTCAACATTGAAAGTGACTTTAGACTGACCCGATAAGTTTCCATTTTCGACAAATATTTTTTTTTCATTAAAATTTTTGGATTTTTTTGTTTTAGAAACTGTATTTTATTTGATAGATTTAGTTGTTAAGCTGACTTCCAAGAGATTGCACAAATTTAAATGAGATGACGTTGGAAGCTTGCGTTTTTGATTCGATGATGTTTGAGATTCTTGTATCTACGAAATATTGTCGATGTATTTTCGGTGCCAAGTTTCAGCGGCGCGTAACACTTAAAGCTTCTTCACACGTCGTTTTGATATCGCCGGTTAATAATAATAATATAAAAAAAAAAAAACGAAATGTATTACGTATAACAAATAGAAGAAAAAAAAAAAGCGATCTTTTTAGTGTGAATTTGATATCTATAGTATAAATAAGACCGTGTAAATAAAACTTTGTCCCAATTGTTTTATTGGGGATCGTCTAGTCACTATAGTACTGATAATTAAGATAAAATGTTACGTATTTGAGCGTGCGACATTAGAATGCCGCTCACGAATTTGGCTTTAAGCCGTTTCGTTTCACGCAGTATTCGATCGCTCGTGTACATAGGACCGTGAGAAGTGTTCGGAGGATGAATTAAAAAAAAAAAAAAAAACGAGAAGAAAAAATTAAACTTAACGTGTAAATAAAGATGCGTTTAGTAAATTTTAGTGAGTTTTCGATAGGGCGTTAATTTAGCGCTCTTTATATATATAGTGAAAATTGTAATTGAATAATTTTTTGTGCACTCTCGAGAGCTACGTTCGGCTCGTAGGTCGGAACGTTCTAGATCTAAGTTAGCGTTAGTAGGTGATACTTGTTCATTAGACTGTGCCAGTTTTTTTCTTCAACTAATAATCTTGAAAAAAAAAAGACGTCGGTGAGATTAAACTGAAGGCGCCAAATTTAAATTCAGCCTTCGAAATTTCGTAATTTATGTTCGGATAATTGGAAAAAAAAAATTAACAACCGTTATTATAATACTATTTCTTGAATTAAGATTCAAATTTTTTTTTTATAATAATTAAAAAATATGTTGTTATTGTTCGTGTAATATTGTAGAAGGTCAATTATACCTTCGATATTAATGTAAAAAAAATAATACAGTATTGCTACGAGATGCTTTTTTTATTTGTTGTTTATTTTTTTCTATTATTAATTTGAAACGTAGGTTTAATGAATAATGTAAGTGGTTTCGGCGCGAAAAGTAAACTTTTCTTTGTGATTATGTAAAACGTTTATTTTTAAAAGTGCTACAAAAGATGATCATTAAAACTTACAAATTAAATTGGTGTTGCTTTCATTACTGCAGTGTTCACATTGTTGGTTTGCATTGAGATATCCTCCGTACATCTATTTTTTCCTTCCTAAACTCTAGAGATTACCTTAGAGAGCCAGCATAACCGAATGAGTAGGTGAGCTCACGGGGCTCTCATCAGAGGACGTTGCTAACACTAGCCCTAGCAAGAGCAGTGCTTCGCAGAATCTACCACTGGATCGGAAATGTGACCCACTGAGAAGATCCGGCAAGAAACTCAGTGGGCTGTGTCTGTTAATGGTTAATTTACTCGCAGAGCCCTTCATCGCAAGCGACTGGTTTGGCGGGAACGGTGAGTCGGTGACCGAAAGATACATCGGTTCCTAAGCAAAGCATTAGACCAAATCATCTTCAAGACGTAAAAGGACCGTTTCCGAAGCCGGAATGGAAAAGATATTCAATTATTCCGTTCACCAGCAATTATGGAGGGTAGAGGTAAGGAGAACTGTTTCATATGAGAGAAGCTTGAAAAAGTGCCCCACTTTCAGCACTAAATAACAGTTCAAAAATCCTTCCGAATGGCGCTAGCATAGGCACAGGGTATGATATAAATTGAGCAGTTAACTGATTAAAGTATGCCGAGTTATATGTTGTACGTTGTAGTATGTTGAGCTCTCTTTTAAAAATGCCCTTTAGTTTATTTTTTAATTGTGTTCCATTGTGTGGTATGCATGCAAAGGGCAGTATTAGTGTATTAGATATTTATTAGATATCGTATCAGAGGTCACTATTGTTACATGTCTTTGTTCAATAAGTGTTTAAAAAAAGTTCAAAATAAATAGTTCAGTATCGAATATTGATTATTTTTATTGATTTTATTGAGTAGGTATTGATAGGCTTTAGTTTTACCAAGAATACATTTTAGAAACAAGTTTTTTTTCCAATTACCTACTTATAACGGAAGAGAAGATACACAAATCGAAATCTTAATGCTTCAGTGATTATAGTCGAATTTCGATGAATGCATTCACTAGTGACAAATAAGTCCTTCTCATGACACATAAGGGCGAAGTGTCAGTTGTATCGCACCCACCTCTGCCATTCTATAAATCAGAAAGCACGACTGCCTCAGCAGCAATTGTCAGGATGGTAATACCTACCTGTCTAAAGAGTAGGGAAGGGAACTCTTCTTTTTTTTCCTACCCAAGCTGATAGTAGGTGAGCTCACGGGGCTCAAACCGGAGTGATGCTAACACTGGCCCTAGCAAGAGCAGTGCTTCGCAGAATCTACCACCGGATCGGAAACGCGACCCACTGAGAAGATCCGGCGAGAAACTCAGTGGGCTGTGTCTATGGGTTAATTCGCTTGTCGAGCCCTTCGTCGCAAGCGACGGGTTCGATGAGGACGGTGACCGGTGCTTGTAGTACCTAAAAGCACCGTTAATGGATCGGAAGGATCAGTAATTACGTGTTTTGGGCGAAACTCTTCGAGAATATGTGGTTGCATAGTAGAATTATATTATCAAGAACAGCATCTTTAATTATTAATTATTTTTATTTTTATTAATAACACGTACCTAATGGCCTGGATTTTAGTTTCTCAAACTTAAATCTTCATTTACATACTATTGTTACATGTTTAAAAATCATCAAAATTATACTTTTACAAATACGTTACTGTGTCATTATTTCGGCGCTTGAAAGGCAAAAGTGACTAAGCAACAATGCGTGAACTTTACAATAGACTAATTTAAAGTTGAAATACCTGAAAACAAAATTTATTTTAACGAATCTAGCTGTAGTAGAATCTAGCTAGTAGCTGTAGGATTGAAATGATTTTAACATTATTTTTTTTTCGGGTAGAGGGCCGAAATATATTTTTTTTGCGCATCGAATATGGTTATTGCCTATCATTTATGTACAAATCAGTTATTGTCGCTTAGTCACGTTTGCCTTTCAAGCGTCGATTTAATTAATAGCACGTTATTAAGAAATTAAAGGTCGCTTTAAATTAGTTTTGAAAGATTATGATTTTACTTCATATCTATATCTATAAAGAAATAAATGTAGTACGTGTTTACTCATTAAAATCTTTTGAACATCAAATAAAAATATGCCATAGTGCATAGTTAATAAAACACTGGTAATTTGTGGTGAGATAACATGCACTCTTAAAATATGACTTACGTCGTCAACGTGTTTTTATGTATTGCTCTGGTGTGTGAACGAGCTCACGGCCCACCATTTATTAATTGGTTGCCGGAGTCCATGGACATCAACAATGAAAATACCATCACTTTGAGACATGAGTTTAAAGTCTTAGTTTTAGTACAAAGATTGCTCCATCTTTCAAACCGAAATATTACTGCTTCACGGCAGAAATATGCAGGGCGGTGGTACCTAACCGTGCGGGCTCCCAAGCAATACCGTCTTTACCATAAAGGCACACGGGGCCCGTGCCCAGGGCCCCCATTCTCAGGGGGCCCCGAAAGACCGAAAATTTCTCACACGTTTATTCTCAAAACATTTTTTCGGGCACATTACACTTTTTTCACAAATCAGTAATCGGAAGGTACTTACAAGGCGTATACTATGCCTATAATAGAAGATTTTTCTCAACAGAAATCCCGAAAGAAACCGTTATCGAAATCGTAACCAAAAAACCAGCAGCATTCTAATATCATTAATGACATATTATATTATACTGTATTTGATTACCTATAATAAATGGTCATACTCAGTAAAAAAATGTTATTATAATTCGCTTTTTTTACTTTCCAAAAGGGCCTCAAATTCTTGTGTGCCCAAGGGCCCCATCCTAGTTTAAGACGTCCCTGCTCCCAAGACGTCTCTATTACCAATAATGTAACAAGGTGACACTACAAAACTTGCATACGTTTCGTGTAAATGCAAGTGTAGTGTTCGCTCACGCGGCCCGTACATAGATTAACTCTCCAGATCATCCAATCCCGCTTAACAACTTAGTCGATTCTCGTCCATTTTCTCTTCTCCTTGATCTTTTTCATCACAGCCAACACTTCTATACGGAATTCCAAGCGTTCGTCTTCATCATACCTCACAACGCTCGGCAGGAGTGAAGCAAAAAAGGCCTCATCTTCATTCATCACTCTTGGATCGTTCGTGTCCACCTCAACGAAATCTATGTCATTAGTTTCATCATGACTCTGCTTATCTTCTTTGCTTTTAGATTCCCTCTTGTAATTGTATTCTTCAATCGAATAACTATCGGACTCGCGTTTTCTTTTCTTCTTTGGCGTGTAAATAGAGTCGCTTTTGTCGTAACACTGGCTACTGCTGTCTAAAATCGATTCGTCTTCTTGTTTCATTAAGCCAGATCTAAATTCACTGTATTCAGCTGTTTCTTCGGGCGCTCCTTTCGTAAGGAACTTCAAATGTTCGTGAAAGACGTATTTGCGTTTCGGTCTTCCCATTTTCGTCTTCAATGTTTTGACAAATGTATCTCGAACGTTCGTCCATTTGTTGACGACGTGTTCCTCTGGAAATAAAATCAATTATTACAATAAGTCCGTAGTTCATAACTGCCTATACTATTTCAATTTCTTTATTTTCTCGATGACCGTTCTAATTTGATAGTTGTAGTGTTGTGACCAAATAAGCAATGTTAACGATCGGGTAAAAAAATATCGGGTCTGTTATCGTGTTATGTTTATCGATAGCTCCATCCCTATCAGTTTCTCCGACTCTGCTATGACCTTGTACGTACGTCATATTTTTAATAAATCATGTATATATAATATATAATCTAAAAAAAACCGCTCGTTCAAGTTTCCACAGGATCTGTCATCGAGAAAATAAATAAATGGAAATAGTTTAAATGGTTTATTTTGACTAGCGAATGCTTGGGTTAGTAATTCAAGTATTCAGTTTGTTTTTATTGAAGATCATGACCATTGTGATCTAGCCTAATCGATTCAAATAATATGAGCCGTTTAGGGTGTTACGTTATGTTGAACTGTTCCGATTTACTGAATCGTGAATAGTGAGATCATTAAAAGTAATTAAAACTTATAATATATGCAAATGGTAGTTTCTAAACTTACGCTAAGGAAAAATACTTGAATTCATAATTTCGTACGCTAAATTAATTATATTATTCTTCAATTTTATTCTGAACTAGTTTTCTACCCGTAGCTTCGTCCGCGTGTTCACAATTATTTTATTTGACCACTGCTTGCATAGATAACTGCTTGTGAAGTAAGTAAGCGTACGAACATAGTTATTTTAACATAACACCGTCATAGTTATTATTCCGTTCAAAAAATCAACAAATAATACGCAAAAACTTTCCTCGGTTATAGATTTCTCAATTACTGAAAACAATAACAAAATTGGTTGCAGAAATGTCCGCAGAAACACAGACAGGGACAGACAGCGATTTTATTAATACGCTTTTATTAGCTTCAGACGTACGTATGTAAGTAACGGAATATTTGAACATGATTTTCACCCCCTTCAAAACGTCGGATTAACTCGAAATTTGGTATACATATTAAGGACCGACGACAAATCAATATTTAAAAAAAAAATTAAATTCAACTAAAAAAAGAAAAATAAATAATAGTTTAAAAAAACTAACGCTTTTATATAATTACGCTTTTATATAATTACATATATAATTTTATATAATTATAAATGCTTTGCAGCCCACGCTTTTTTTACAATAAAATAATTTTTTCTTACACTATTTTTAATTCAAGTTTATTAAAATTTATTTTCTATTTTTTAGTGGGATTTCCTATAAAAGCGTATTTTGTTAGTTTTTTTAAACTATTTTTTATTTTATAGTAGTTATTTATTAGAGATTGGACTTACATTTTAAATGGGCTTATTAAACACTAAAAATACAATACACTAAGTAAAAGTTATGTTCGTTTCCATTACCCGTTAACCTTTTTTCTGCAGGCGTCATTTCCTCGTATCTATCGTCGAGTATGTTATAAATTTCCTCCCACGCCGCTTTTCTCTCGACACGATCTTTGTAGCTTTCTAAAGCTTTATCCCATAAACAGGGACGATCTCGTACACTTTGAATAAGAGTAACTACATCGTATTTAAATTCTTTCATTTTTCACATCAAAATTACGTTTAGTTTGGTTATGAAATATCACTGTTTACACTCGCTCGTCTGAAGCGTTACTAGTTTTGTTTCAATTCTCGCCTCTATCGTCGGACCGTATGTTTTGTCTCATTTTAATGCTATACGTTAAAGTGAGACGCACTGTCTAGCGAGGTCACCGTACCGACATTCCGTGACGTGCCGTATCGTCATTCGTTGCCGTGATGACAAACCAGATTATGTAGAACTGTAAAACATTAATAATATTGCGGTTTCATAGGTCAGAATGTTTTAGACTTATATTCGCTTTTGCTATTGAACGATAATATCGTTATTTTTATGACATTTTATGATTGAAATTAACGAATCTGTATTTGTCATAAAAAAAATTGGAAAAAATGTAGATGAGTTTAGGATTTATGACATTGAAAGTGTTTAAATATGTTATATTAATATCAGTAGCTCGTACAAAGACAATGTCTACCTCTAAGGAGTCTTATAAAATCTAGTTTGATTATGAAAACAGCCGTTACGTCGATTTTGGCTTTCTTTAAAATGGTTTTGATAATTATACGCATTTGACTAGACACTTATTGTAATTTAGCAAATCTTCTCGAACGACTCCCATGATGAAAGAATATAATGGTTTAATATATCCAACGTTGATAATAAATATGTACATGGTTCTAATTTAAGTCTATTGTAAGGTATTTCAGTGTTGAAATAATATACAATGCACGTCAATTGAGACCGCGTATGTAAATTTTTATTCCTAATAATTAACCACCAGTTTCCTTAGGTGTCTATTCGTGTTTTTCGGTAAGTGAGCTCACGGGCTCAGCCTGAGAGATTTTGCCAACACCAGCCCTAGCTAGAGCAGTGGTTTGCTGATTCTACCACCGGATTGGAATCGCGACCTGCTGACTTAATTATAACTTCAGTCAGTTGGTATTCAATTTGCTGGTTCTAGGGCATCCTATAAACTTTTACGAGTAAGGACAACTACCCTGCCTATTTCTGCCACGAAGCAGTAATGCGTTCCAGTTTGAAAGTTGGCTTAGCCGTTGCACTATGGAACTTTGAACTTAGAATTGAAGTTGGGTCGCAGCATTTACATTGTTCGTGTGCATGGATTCAGGGTGTTCCTACGTTTGCCGCTAGGGACGCTGTTCCAACTGCATACAAATTTGAGTTAACTTTTACGCTTCCGAGAACGTTAAAATACTCGCACTAAGCACACATGTGATGATTCGCAGATGGGCAGTGAGGTCGTCCACTCATCTAAGCAACAATAATAACTAGTGGTCCCACGGTAGTCAGAATTCGACTATATTTAATTGAAGTTATAAGTTTGTACACTATTATGATTCTATTGTCAAAGGTTATTATTATACTTCTATAATCACAGATTTCGCCAAGATTTATATTAATATAGACAAACAATATTTAATCTATTCTCAATTTGACCACAGACTATAAGCAATAAAAAAGTTTGACAATAAACAAATAGTATGCATGGGTGTGTGTGCCAAATACATGGTAGTAGGCAATGATGTTATAGTAAAAAGATCTTTTTACTATAACATCATTGGTAGTAGGTCAAATACATACCTACATGTGTAATGTTTTTTTATTGCTTTAATGTATTTTTATGTATAATATAAAAAAAAAATTAACATTCTCCACTTCTTCTCTAGATTATCTATAAGTGTTAAGCTGTTACTGGAACGTTTTGGACACCTCGAAATACGGTTCGAAAGCCGTACGCATTCAAACCGTAACGAAAAATTGTTTCACGGCAGAAACAAGCGAGTTGATGACGGAGACCCGTGTGGGATCCCACCCCACCACCACCACCACCAAAAACTGCCTATCTAAAACTGACGTAATGGTAACGAGTGAAATAATTAGACGGCACTACAATTATTTAAAAATCACCAGTCGACTTTAGTGTTTGCATATCAACGTAATTAAATAATTGTTGGTTATTCACAGTGTATTGTGGGCTTTTTTTGCTGTTTTTTTTTGCTCCTGTTGAGCAGAGTTTGTAGTAGTTAGCAGTTACCGCAGTCATCATCGTCATCACAGTCGGTTACTCTTGGCGGAGCAGTCGTGGTCATGTGGAACCTTGTTGATTAAAGCCTTGACAGCTGTTCTCCATTGGCGCACGCATTCTTAAGTGGGGCTTTGGTAAGGATTTTCACTTGATCAGTCCAACGCATGGGGCTTCGTCCACGAGGTCTTTTACCGTTGAACAGAGCCTGACAACAAGTTTCTCCATGAACTCTGCAGTAGGCAGGCATCATAACGCGAATGGTCTCTCTCCCTCGGTGAACCTGAAGTTATTCATACAGGTACAGATTTGAAGTCGTCGTGGCCTAAAGGATCAGACGTCCGTTCCATTCGTATCTAGCGATGCAACGGTGTTCGAATCTTGCGGGCGGGTACCAATTTTTCTAATGAAATACATACTTGTCAGATGTTCACGTTTGACTTCCACGGTGGAGGAATAACATCGTGTAATAGAAATCAAACTCACAAAATTATAATTTGCGTAATTACTGGTGGTAGCACCTCTTGTGAGTCAGCACGGGTAGGTACCACCACCTTGCCTATTTCTGCCGTGAAGCAGTAATGCGTTTCGGTTAGAAGGGTGGGGCAGCCGTTATGACTATACTGAGACCTTAGAACTTATATCTCAAGGTAGGTGGCGCATTTACGTTGTAGATGTCTATGGGCTCCAGTAACCACTTAACACGCGGTGGGCTGTGAGCTCCTCCACCCAACTAAGCAATAAAAAAAAGTTAATTCAATTCTCGGTGACCACAATTGCGTTTCACGGGCCCGATTTTGATTCTCCATTAAACTGTGGCTTCTGCCATATGAGAATCTAGTTAATTCAAAGGCTCAGCTCTCACTGGTCGTCGATAGAATAATATGTTTAACGTAAATTGGACGGCAGTCAATAATTTTATGGAAAACTGTTCATAGAAATCAGGTGGTTGGTAGCTTTGTGAGTTTTTTTCTTTCGTTACAAATTTGTGAGGGAGTTCATATAGAGTCCCTTCTTTATTTCGCCGTAAGGTCGTGTTTTATGTAATTAAGACTACAGTTGGAACAATAGAAATTTTATTGTTGTAGCGGCATAAACAATTCTAAGTAATTATATTATATTAGTTAATAAACACATTATAAATTATTTTAACGTTTTTAAATTTTCGGCGGTAAAAAGGTCCTGAGTCACAGACTATATTCTTTTTTCCACGTCTCGTGCGTTCCAGCTTACGCGTCATAAAAAGATGCGTTCTTAAACGCCACATATGTTTGGCGTGTTTCGGCTTTAGAATGCCCTCAACACGTCCTTACTTATCCACCCGATCTTCTAATACGACGTTTGCCTTTCTGGTAGTAGGAGTAGGCTTAGGGACCATGGTAGCCGTATTCGTCGAACTCGTCGAAGAGTTCGGCGTGAAATCTAATTCATACATCAGTCCGCTGAATTTCTCGCTGGACCTTCTCGGCGAGTCCAGAATACCGATTCGCCAAGTAGCTGCTCTTTGTCTTATTCGGAGGCGCTCGGGCATCAGTTAGCAAATCCCATCTCTCTCTCCAACCAAATCTCCCTCCGCTGAGCTACTTGTCCTGATGAAAATTGAAAGGCTTTCGGGTCACCAATAACTCTGCTAAAAAAAGTTTGTTTTTAATTTAAATCCAATTTTATTTTTTTATTTTTTTTATTGCTTAGATGGGTGGACGAGCTCACAGCCCACCTGATGTTAAGTGGTTACTGGAGCCCATAGACATCTACAGCGTAAATGCGCCACCCACCTTGAGATATAAGTTCTAAGGTCGTAGAACTCAAGTATAGTTATAACGGCTGCCTCACCCTTCAAACCGAAACGCATTACTGCTTCACGGCAGAAATAGGCAGGGTGGTGGTACCTACCCGCGCGGACTCAAGAGGTCCAATCACCAGTCAACATTCGACATACGTTCGACTAATATTGTATTATAGTATTTTATAAATAGTTCTTGCTACGAATATTTTGTTTTAAAAAGTTTTTTCAGCATTTGCATTTAGAATATTTTTTTATTGTTCCAACATCATTATCCGATTCGTGGTTTTTTTTCAAAACAAACATTTACCCATCGAGCTGTTAGTCTTGATGAAAATCATGTGTGCTTATTCGAATAATACCGAATATAGCCTCCTAATAAGACAAGTAAACAGTACAGAGTTTGCTATACGAGTATAGTTTCTAAGTCAATCGATTTAAATGCGCGCGCATCTATCATCGCAGTTATTCAGTGCGTGAAAAAATTCTGCCGTTTCATACGTGAGGTTATGTTTTACAGTTTTTCAAATTATAATATACGTGTTTGCGCTAATATATAATATAATTTAAAAAAAAAGTCTAGCAGGAATAATAAAGCGGCGTCGAATGATGATCCTAAAGTAATTCGAAGACTGAAAAAAAATTTCTTCGATTTTCCATTAACCAGCTTTCGTAAGGTATGGATTTTTAAATATGATATTTTATTTCTGTATTTAAAGGTAATTTTTCTATTTTTTTTTACTAGATATAACACGTACATAAAATTATGAGGTATGGTTTTTTAAATAGTATTTTTAATTTATCGCAATTGAAGAATTCCTACTAGAAAATAGGTGGTACTATTACTACGAATATTATTGCAACTTTTCAATTTAATATTAATTTTTCTTTGCACATGATAGTTGTGTTGGACGTCTGGTCAATCGTCAATAACCCATTGCATGGAAGCTAGGAGTAATAATAAAAATATAATCTATATATCTATCTATATATATATAAATGAATTGCTGTTCTTTAGTCTCGCTAAAACTCGAGAACGGCTGGACCGATTTGGCCAATTTTGATCTTGAATTTTTGTGGATGTCCAGAGAAGGTTTAAATGGTAGATTTAAATATGAAAATGCGAGGAATTAAATAAAAATAACAATTTTACCCTACTACTGCAATATGTAATTTAGTGGTAGGCAGCGGCTTGGCTCTGCCCCTGGCATTGCTGAAGTCCATGGGCGACGGTAACCACTCACCATCAGGTGGACCGTATGCTCGTCTGCCTACAAAGGCAATAAAAAAAAATTACATTTTCGCACAAACATTCTCCATATAACTTTGAAAATAATACCTGTATTAAGTGTGTGTTATTTCACACAACAAAGTCTAATCTTCGCTTCGGTCGAGTGATTCTGACGTCACGTTCAGTTAATTTAATTTTTTTAATTTCTCTTTGATGAGGCAGCCTTTTGTAATTCTCATTCGTTTATCAGTCGACAAATAATATCAGAAGCCAATTACCATAGATGGCGTGAACAATACGTAGATATCTGTATGACAATTAAATTACGTTAATTGCTCGGAAAAAAACTCCACGATTTTTTTCTTTATTAGACAATTTGATAAAAATAATTTAGTTACTATTATTAAATGTCTACTTATTGTTCGAACTAAAGATTTAGGAATGCCCGTTTGTGATAAGGCCTTTAGGAATCTCTAAAAATCTGTTTCCCTACCTAATCTGTACTAATAGGTTGGGTAGTGGCCATGCATGGGTTGGTTCCATCGTCCTGCCTATTTCGGCCACTAAGCAATCATGGTCATTAGGCCGAGGACCGAGAAAATTATCGTTTCAATTGGAGCACTTCAATATAATAGGGATGTTGTAGGCATTAACGGCCGTCCTGTGTAGTGGTAAGTGACATGGTTACTACACAAGGGGGTAGCGGGTTCGAATCCCGCCAAGGGAAGATATTTGTATGATAAATATAAAATATCTTTTCCAGGGTTATGGATGTATGTTAAATATATGTATGTGTATAATAAAAATCTTACATTTATTTCCGTTATCTGGTACCTGTAACACAAGTTCTTTACGAACTAAGTACGGGACCAGTTAACGTGGCGTGATTGTTAGTAAATATTTATTATTATTTATTTATTTATTAAGCGTCTCGAACGGGCCGATCGATTGCCCATATAAGTTAATGGAAGAACGTCTCATGTTCCAGTTTGAATCTTCGAAATGTGGACGGTCTGCATCCCGGGATGGAGCGCGGCAATTGCGGCCGGCGCCATACTTCTGTACGGCACCCTGGATGTAGCGTATTTTGCCCGGATGATGTACACCGTGGCTAAAGCGCGCTACTTCAAGAAGAAATGTTGTATACTAGACACCACTGAGGTCCAATGTAAGTTTGTTTTTATCGTTTGATAAGGAGCTGAGAGAGTTCCACAGTGCAACTTACCAAAGAATTTTATTGCTATAAATAAAGCCCACTGAGTTTATACCCGGATCTTCTCAGTGGGTCGTGATTCCGATAGGGTTGTAGATTCTGCGAAGCATTGCTCTTGCTAGGACTAGTGTTACCAAATTTTCTCAGGTTGAGCCCGCGAGCTCGCTTATCCATTCGAACGTAGCCGGAATAGGCTACCAGCGAATAGGTAGGGAAAAAGAGTTTGTTATTTGAAGCACTAGAATGTTTTATACCAGATATAGAGAAAAGTATGCAGGGAAGATTTCCTAAGTAAAATGACCCGTTAAACCACCGCCTAGGATTTTGTTCCAAGCTAAAACGATATAAATGCCAGCTGTAAGTAAAATCTAGTTGGCGCCATTCAGATTTTGCCGGATTTCATTTAAACTATGATAGCTATCATATGATCTATATCTACTGCTACAATGTAGAGATAATAGAGAGCCCTTTATTCGGAAAACAGATATAAAATTAAGTTTCTTATATTACTGCACTTATACTGATATATGTATATATATATGTATTTTAGAAAATTAAAATTGGTGTATTTGGTGCTTGTTTACTCTCTGTAAGTCCGTTTGCCAGTTGGCAAAGGCCTCCTCTAACCTACTCCATTCTGATCTCTCTCTGGCTACTCTANACAGGTTGGACATTAAACTTATGGGTCGGTAGTTTCCAATATCGTACTGATCACCTTTTTTGTACAGAAGGATTATATTGGATTTAGTCCATTGCTGGGGAATCGTTTCTGTGTTGATGATATCGTTGAAGATTTCTTTGAGAATAGGTGTTATTGTTTGTTTCGCTTGTTTTAGTACTTCGTTACTTATTCTGTCGGGTCCTGGAGCTCCAGGAGAATAAAGCTCCAGGACCCGACACTGCTACAATGTACCTTAACAATATAGGAAGAAGGAATCTCAGAAAATTGGATTATAGAATATTAGACATTCCCTGTCCAAGCATCCAGTAAACACAACAAAGAATGGTAACTCAAGCAAAGCATGTCTCATAAATTTTCTTTTGACACAACATTTAATTAATTTCTTTTTCTTGACCTTGTCTCAAATTATGTAAGGTCATCGAAGCATGTCCTCTTATTATGTTGTATACGGATTTAGAACGAGTTTTACAATCGACCGCCTCACTGGTATCATCCCTACTTGGGTAATCTAGAATGGGTATTAAAGTATGTACCCATTGAATCATGCCTTCTATTTCGATTTCTTCTTTAGATCATTATTTTACTTCAGCCGTTTCTTGGTTCTATGATTTGTATCTAATCTCTTGAATTAAACGTTTAGATTTTCAATACCAAAAAGATAAAAAGATCACAATTTATTAGTTTTTAAATATTTTAACCTAATTAACACTGGACGTGATTTGAAAAATACCTTTATTCTACTCTTAGTATTAAGATAGGCTGGTTACGGCCTTAAATGAACACTCCAGGTTTCACGATACGATGCCGTATCCCTTCGTAATATGGGTCAAAGTCTCTATTACTTTGGCACATCTTGTCAGTATCTTACCATTTAGACTAGAACGCTGAAGGACGCTGTATAAAACCAATAATTGTATTTTTAATTTTTTTATTTTTTATTGCATAGATGGGTGGACGAGCTCACAGCCCACCTGGTGTTAAGTGGTTACTGGAGCCCATAGACATCTACAACGTAGACGCGCCACCCACCTTGAGATACAAGTTCTAAACTCTCAATATAGTTACAACGGCTGCCCCACCCTTCAAACCGAAACGCATTACTGCTTCACGGCAGAAATAGGCAGGGCGGTGGTACCTACCCGCGCGGACTCACAAGTGGTCCTACCACCAGTGTATCCTATGTGCCTCCTTCTAGCTTGGTGTCTTCTTACTGATATCGATACTCTGCTGTACCACATGAATAATGCTCGTTATTTCCGCGAATTGGACTTCGCTCGAGCTGACTTCTACGAGCGGACCGGGCTCTATGCGAACATCAAAGCGGCTGGAGGCGCGGTCGTCCAGGGTGCCGCCACAATAAGATACAGGCGCTACTTGAAGCCCTTCACCAGGTTTACCATAACATCCAAGGTATTGATCAACCTTATAACTGTTTTCGTATTCAAAACCATGCAGTCATTTTTTTTACCAAAGAGAGACTATCAGGAATGATTAGCGTTTGATATATAAGCAATATATAATCATATATATATTGATAAAAGTCGCAGTGGAAACACAACAGAAGGCAGGATATATATTTTTTTCTCTGTATACTAACTTTGGTGACTACGCTTAAGTTAGGTAGGATTTTTGAAGTGATAGAGGTTTGGCTGTACCTAACTGATAATAAAGTAGGGAAAGAACTAATTGTTTCTAAAAATGTGTTTATTATGTTGATACCAGTCAGGATATTGGAGTAAATTTAAAATATAATTATTGTGANGGCTGGAGGCGCGGTCGTCCAGGGTGCCGCCACAATAAGATACAGGCGCTACTTGAAGCCCTTCACCAGGTTTACCATAACATCCAAGGTATTGATCAACCTTATAACTGTTTTCGTATTCAAAACCATGCAGTCATTTTTTTTACCAAAGAGAGACTATCAGGAATGATTAGCGTTTGATATATAAGCAATATATAATCAAAAATATATTGATAAAAGTCGCAGTGGAAACACAACAGAAGGCAGGATATATATTTTTTTCTCTGTATACTAACTTTGGTGACTACGCTTAAGTTAGGTAGGATTTTTGAAGTGATAGAGGTTTGGCTGTACCTAACTGATAATAAAGTAGGGAAAGAACTAATTGTTTCTAAAAATGTGTTTATTATGTTGATACCAGTCAGGATATTGGAGTAAATTTAAAATATAATTATTGTGACTCTTGGTGCAAGTGCAAATTTTCAAGTTAGGACGTTTTGAAAATGAAAGGCAGTGAAAATGTCGTTTAAAGATTCCGTTACATACATACAAAAGCCCACTGAGATTCTACATAGATGAATATTCTCTGTGGGTCGCGATTCCGATCCGGTGGTAGATTTTGCGAAGCACTGTTCATGCTAGGGCTAGTGTTATCAAATTCTCTCAGGTTGAGCCCGTGAGCTCATCTATCCGTCAGGGAGTAGCTGGAATAGCCTCTTAGATTTAGGCGAATAGGTAGGGAAAATGCATATAAAAATACATATAGGTATATATGAAGCTAATAAAAGCGTGTTAAAAATACTTTTTTTTATTGATGTTCAGTGTTTACTGGAGCCCATAGACATATACAGTATAGTTACTACGGCTGCCCCACCCTTCAAACCGAAACCCATTACTGCATCACGGCAGAAACAGGCAGGTCGGTGGTATCTACCCGTGCGGACTCATAAGAGGTATTTACGCAAATTATAATTTTGCGGGTTTGATTTTTATTACATGTTGTTATTCCTTCACCGTGAAGGCAATCGTGAACATTTGTTAAGTACGTATTTCATTAGAAAAATTGGTACCCGCCTGCGGGATTGGAACACCGTTACATCGCTAGATACGAATGCACCGGACGTCTTATCCTTTAGCCCCCGACGACTTCACTGTTTGCTTTACCTATTTCTGTTTAGATATATTTTTCGTTCTAGGCTGTCTACTGGGACGACAGGACCTTCTTCATGGAGCACGAATTCGTAGGTCCAGGCGGCTTCGTTCACGCCATCGCCGTCTGCCGGCAAAGGGTCATTGACACTTCTGCTTCTGCTATAGCTGAGTTACTCCTCCAATTGCACTGTGCTGGATCTTGTAGGCCGGCTCCCGGGAAGATACCTCCCGAGGTAACAGTCTTATTGATTTCATTAATTTTCTTCGAAGGCGGGATTACTCGTTTGTCCTTTTTAAATGCCCTTTTTAAATTTATAGTTGTGATGAAAATTCGATCCATTGACGGTGCTTTTAGATATCTCAAGCACCGGTCACCGTCCTCGCCGAACCCGTCACTTGCGACGACGAGTAAATTAACCCACAGACACAGCTCACTGAGTTTCTCGCCGAACCTTCCTCCTTCCTTCCGGGTCGCGTTTCCGATCCGGTGGTAGATTCTGCAAAGCACTGCTCTTGCTAGGGCCAGTGTTAGCTCCGTGAGCTCACCTACTCACCCGATTACGCTGGCATAGCCACTCATGGGTATCAGCTTAGAAATGAAATGATGTTCCAATAAAATAGTAGGAGCTTACTAGGGACTTCAAGGAGGAGGAGTCCGAGAATCTATAGCTTTGGTTTATTTTCCGAAAGTTGAGAATCTACCCAGATATTATTCCAGGTTTAAATCTGATGAATCAGTAGTTCAATAAAAGAAAACCAATTTACACGACTTCGCTTCTCGCTTTCCTGCCGAAAAGTGAATGAATGCATTAATTATTATGATATTATTACAATAGAAATTCTTCGTAGTTTTCGCTCTAATAGTCAGTCAAAGTTTCCTGTCAAAACAAAATGCCGTAAATATTAGAATATATACAAGTTTGGTTTCCCTGTGTATTGTAGTGTATTTCTCACACATTTACCTACCGCGTTTAATGGTTGGAGGACTAATTCTGTGTGTCAGCTTGGGTAAATACAATTCTACCTGTTTCTGCGGTATGAAGGGATAGTACGTAGCCCTGAAATAACAAAATTGAGTCTTCCAGCTTGTGTATCAAGGTTGTGCACAGTCTCCAGTTACCAATTAAATCGGGTAGGTTGTTGACCTTGTCTATCTATTTAAAGAAAAATAAATTACAAATAGGTACACACAGTTCTTTCCAGTATTTGGTCCTTTGTTTATGACGTCATCATATCTGTGACGTAACCTTAGGGTAATTCAATATGTAGAAATTTAGGTGATTATGTAGCATGGAAACAGACACGTTCTAGTGAATCGGTGCAAATGGTTTTTAGAGAACCACGTCAAAGATCTGTTACATTAAAATACTTAAAAGTGTCATTTCGTGTGGCTCGTAATTATGTGCTCAAAACGATTGAGGACAAAACTCTAAAGATACATTTAATAATTCATTTAGTTTTTAATATAATATCAACGTCATCCATATTAGCAAAATGCAGGTTTTAGTAAGCTTTCATGTTATCCATTCAGAACGATAAAACTTATGTGTAATTGAGTATTATTTATATATATATGTATGTATTTCTAGTTGGAGCTTTGGGTGCAGAGCAACGAGCTGAGTTCGGCCAAACTGCGGGCCGTCAATGCCCCACTCCCAACCATCCCTTCCCCGAGTAATATCGGATGCGGTGAGGTTATACCCACAGTGACAACTGAATGAGGCTATCTTACTCACTGCCGCGGTGAAAGTGATCGAGCCAAAAAGCACGAGTGAGACGGCTATATGATGTGCCCGCTCTGGCAGTGAAGTACAGTTCAGTTTAGACGCAGCACTCGAGACGTGCGGACGTATATGTCATACGACTTATGTAATACGGTATAGCTTGGCTATCGAAGTTTGTGTGATAAAGTATTCCATCACGTTATTGTTATCTACGAAAATATTATTTGTTTATTATAATTAATTACTGTAATAATAATACGTATATTGTTTTGTATTATGTAAAATATTGTTCCTGTCCTATATTATGTAAATGTAGACTCTCTGATCAGATATTCTCATAAAATGAATTTTGGTGATAATGCTTACTGTATATTCGCTTAAACGCGATAGATTGATAAAAAACCAACGTAACTCTATAATAATTAAAAAATCTCATTTAAGTCACTTCTTCACCATTTTGTGAATTTTTATTTTGACCGTTGACGTGAGATTTTTTCCTCTAACTTTAGAGTTTGGTTGCAGGAAAAAGCATAGCGTTTTTATTTGATATTTAAATGAAGAATTAATTATTACAGCTATTGAATAGTACGTAGGTAGAGAGTACCTACCCGCGAAACAAAATGTGATTAATTTAGTGGAGCTAGAAAATGCTACAAAAATCAATTTTGAAGCATTCAAATCTTCGGTCACACGCCTAGTTCAGGGTGTAAGTGTGGCGAGTCGGTCTAAATAACGAGTATAGATCGATATTATTATTTCAATGACCATGAGCTGACAGATCGACAGATGTGAGACATCATAGTTGATTGTAATTAATGAAAAACAAGAAAGGAATATGTGATTAATAAATAAAATAAAAATGTAAATGATTCGAAATCATTTTAATTGTTAACAATATCCTTTTAAAAACGGAGAGACTGGGGAGCCATGTTGTTTTTAAAATTGAGGACGTCATTCTCGTCATTATTATGATTTCCTTCCATATTGACAGTAATTGAAACTTTCTTTAGCAAACAATACCTTTTATTAAATTTGTAGTTTACAACTATTATATAACAAGAGTTCACTCTTTCGGCTATTCGAGCCGGAATGTGTGAAGCGTTTTTTTTTTATAATTAAGATGTTAGCCTTGAGAGGCTATTTCAGCTTCACCCTAGTGTGTAGGTGAGCTCTCGTGGCTCACCTCTCGTGGAGGTGTTGCTAACACTGGCCCTAGCAAGAGCCGTGCTTCGCAGAATCTACCACCGGGTCGGAAACGCGACCCACTGAGAAGATCCGGCGAGAAACTCAACATACACTTCACTATTAATGTAAAGGAAAAAAATAATTAAAATGAAAACAACTTTAACGATTTGACCTCAACTGTACTAAACTAGCTGTATGAATTAAACTGCAAAATAAAACAGTGACAATTTAAAAAAAAAAGCGAAATTAAACCGTAAAATTAGTCTTAATTCTATCTGCGACTCGGGAAATCTGAAGAAATTACTAAGGTTATTATTACATTAATATTAAAAATAAATTAATCTAAAAAAAAAATGTTTTTTGCGTCACCGATTCAACCTCAGCTTAGATAAGCTGGACGGGTTTAATCATGTCTGGATTTTTGATCAATTCCTTGGAAATTATCGAATATTTATGAACATTTTCATAGCAATCCGGTACCTAGTTGTTGGTGGCGTAACAATATTTCGTTGCACTAGCTTTTCTATATTTCGAGGCTGGCAACACAATTAATCGAATTGTTTTAATAGTGTACCCCTAAATTGTAAAGTCGACGAAGACTTGCAAATATGTAATCTGTACTGTAATCTAATCTGTACCTTTAAAAACTTCAGTATCATTGTATCAACCATGGAGTTAATAATAAAATAGTAGCTCTATGGTATCAACTGACATTGGTCCTATGAAATATAATGTCTTGATGATTGTAATGGTGGTTTTATTTATGTTCGTTTTAAGCTTTTCAAATTGCCGCGTTCATCTTGTGATATGTATAGTTAGTTAGTTAATTATTGCCGATACGTATTATTTTTCTGTTTGGTTAGAACTAATAATATAATAATAATTTATAATTTATTTATTAACCTTGAAAACATTTACACATAACATTTTGCTAAAAACTCTCCACACTAGGCACTGCCTGTCTCGTGGAGAGTTTTTTACAGGAGTATCTTAAAACTACTAATAACGGTGCTGAATATACGAGTAAATCAAAATAGTTTAATAAGTTTTCATGGAATGTCATGTTTCATTAACATCTTATCGTGGCCGCCGCTAATTACTTATCCGATCGCGACAAGGCAACGCAAAGCCGCCGTCGCCCAAAACATGTCTTGTCGGATCCCCCGGATTTACACTCGGTGCTTTTAGGCCTCTGAAGCACCGGTCACCGTCCTAACGAGCGAACTAACCCACAGACACAGCCCACTGAGTTTCTGGCCGGATATTCTCAGTGGGTCGCGATTCCGATCCGCTGGTAGATTCTGCGAAGCACTGCTCTTGCTAGTGTTAGCGAATTCTCTCAGGTTGAGCCCGTGAGCTCGCGTAACCGTCCGCGCGTAGCTGGAATAGGGAATAAAAATGGGCACTTGAGTTCACAATTGGTCACATTTGAAAATTTTGAACTAAGCCTAGCTTAACTTCTTGATTCGCAATCTATTATATTACTTGAAATAATTTGTGAAAGAGCATAAAAAAATCTAAGTTTTTTTTACGAATAATTCTTTTAGTAAAATTGCTCACATGATAGAGGTAGGAGTATAAAGTGTATTTCGCGACGGTTCTATTAGTATTGAGAGAGACTATGCAGTAGTTTAGTTATCGAATGCATGTACCATAGTGTACTACTATGTCTAAGAAAAAAAGGCACAAAATGATGAAAGGCAAAAAATGAAACCCATCGAACATCAATACTAATCTATATATTAATACGTGAAGCAAAAACTTTGTATCCCTTTTTACGAAAATTGCGCGGACGGAGGAGTATGAAATTTTCCACACTTCTAGAGAATATAGAGAAAAAGTGCACAATAGATACATTAAATCAATAAAGAAAACATTACACACTACATACTCTGTATTTGACGCACACACGCATAGGTGAATGAAGTTAGCCCCTCAAAAAATTTTTTTTTTCCTATTTTATACTTATTTTCTATTAATTCGTTTGTTCATCATTTGTTCATGATTGTTCACTGTTAATAATTGTTTGTTCTGCATTTATTTATTTAAAAAAAAAATTTAAAAATATACCTACAAGTTAGCCCCCCTAATGCAATTTTTTATATTTTTTCATCCTTAATGACTCGTAAATATTCATTTTCGATTGTTCTTATATAAAACACGTTTGTTCTCTTTCGAAATTACTCGTTTTTTGTTTAATTTACTGTTTTTATTAGTTGAATAAATGTATGCAAAATATGTGTACTGCGCATGCGTCAACTATAATGCCTAAACTTTCTACGCGGTTATAATCGTGAAAAAAAAAAAACAAATATAAATCCTGAAGGAGCAATTAATTGGTATACAGTTTGTTTAAAAAATAAATAAATGAAATAATGTGCATTGGCGTTAAGTTAGACCAAATACATTTTTTCCATCCTCCTACTTATCGTTATGAAGGTATAAAAAAGATAGGGAGTTCACATAGGTAATATAAACAAATAAGTAAATATGTTCATTATTTATCTTTCAAGAGATAATATAGGTATACATTATAATAACTTTTTACACAGTCGAAATTATATTCCTAACATTAGTAAAATAAAATTTTAATACGATAGGTAAGAGGATGGAAAAAATGTATTTGGTCTAACTTAACGCCAATGCACATTATTTCNTGCCGGCGCAGCAGCCCGGCGTCACCTGCGATAACGCGGCCGCGCGTTGGCTCCTGATTGGCGCGCGCACGCATCACGCAATCAGGAGCCAATCAGGCGCATAACGCATTTCGTGTGACATGCTAGTACGATTTTGGTCCCCATAATTTTCATACCCCGGGCCTATATATGTAAATCGATTCTAAAGGAGTAAACTCCAAAAAGGCACAAAATGATGAAAGGCAAAAAATTAAACCCATCGAACATCAATACTAATCTGTATATTAATACGTTAAGCAAAAACTATGTATCCCTTTTTACGAAAATTGCGCGGACGGAGGAGTATGAAATTTTCCACACTTCTAGAGAATATAGAGAAAAAGTGCACAATAGATACATTAAATCAATAAAGAAAACATTACACACTACATACTATGTATTTGACGCACACACGCATGCATACTATTTATTGTCAAACTTTTGTTCTTGACGTCTGTTGTCAAATTGAGAATAGATTAAATATTGTGTGTCTTTGTTAATATTTTTTATAATGTAGTCTTGGCGAAATTTGTGATTACAGAAGTATAAAATACAATCATAATAGTGTAAAAACTTACAATTCCAATTAATTATAGTCGAATTTCGACTACTGCGGGACCTCTAATAAACATTAAATTGCGTTGGTTTGTATCTGTTTTGTATGTCCGTTTTTCACGTCGAAACGAAGCAAAGTATTGAAATGATTTAAAAAAATATATAATTACAGTTCAAAGGAGTGACATAGAATACCTTTTATCCTGAAAATAGATATAATTCCCACGGTAAACTCTTTTATTATGTTTAGAAAAAATACGTGATATTTTTAAAAATTAAATTCGCGTTTTTTACTAATTATTTAAGTTATAATCCAGGGAGGCATCCCTGGCGTTACGCTTTCTCGAAGGAGACTGTGGGTATCCACGGATCGCCCTGATTGTCATTTTACCCTGCGGACGTCGCAGCGCCATATGAGGGCACCAGCGTTTAGGCCCTCCGACATTTGAGTCGACTATTATCAAAGCCGGCAATCTGACTTTTGGACAATGATTGGTAAATCAGAAAAACGAATTATTGACTTTGTATTCCATTGGCAGTCACAAAACTCTTCGGAGCGACATCTTAGATAAATAACAGGTTAAGTATTAACCTTTATTTAATGCAGGTTTTGAACCGTATTCTTTGAAGGAGACGATTATATTCAAATCAATCTGTATTGACATATCAATAAATTTTTTTTGTCCAAATGCACAGATTGCCACCTTTGATAATAGACGACTCATTTAGCAAGAGCCGATGTACCACCACCCTCTCTATTTCTGCCGTGAAGCAGTAATGCGTTTCGGTTTGAAGGATGAGGCAGCCTTTGTACTATAACTTAGTCTTAGAATTTAATATGTCTTAAGGTGGGTGGCGGCATTTACATTCTTAATGTGTCCCGGTAAGCGCTAAAAACCTGGTGAGCATCTAATATTACGTAATTTTTATTATTTATCTTCTACTGTCTGTTAGAAATCCTTATACACAGAGCTAAACAATGACACAGTTAATACCTTTAAAATATTCATAGCATTCTCGTGTGAGCTTAATATATTTGAATGTTTTGGGGTTGTTGTTGTTCTACCAATAGTGTATTTTGGGCAGTATACTGTATTTCTCAAAACAAGAATACTCGCCACCGCCTGTAATCGGGTCAGACGTTAAAAATAACAGTTACGCGTATATACCTGTTTTATAATTCTACTTAGTATTTTAGTGACGTAATTTCAAAATTGTTATTGATACCGAGAATCACGTTTATGTTGACTACAAACTATGATTGAATGTTAAAGATTGGGCGAAGTCCCCAAGAATTTGAATCGATGTAAGAAAAACGAAATCCAAAAGTTAATCGTCAGGAGTTACGACGTAGCTGAAGAACTGGGAATTGACCACAAAGCAGTTTTGGCGCATTTGAAAAAAAACCGCGTACACAAAAAAGTTCGATATTTGGGTACCTCACGAGCTCAATGAAAGAAACCTAATGAACCGTGTACTCATTTGCGATTCTTTATTATGACACAATGAAACCGAACCATTTTTGAAGAAGCTGATAACTGGTGATGAAAAGTGGATCACGTACGACAAGAACGTGCGAAAAAGGTCGTGGTCAAAGGCCGGTCAGGCTTCACTGACTGGCGAAATCCGGGTTAGCTCGCAACAAGGTGATGCTGTGTGTGTGGTGGGATTGGAAGTGCATTATCCATTATGAGCTGTTACCACCAGGCAGGACCGTCGATTCTGAACTTTACGGCGAAAATCTGATGATATTAAAGCAAGAAGTTGAGAGACAGCGGCCGGAATTAATCAACAGAAGGGGTGTGGTTTTTCATCATGATAACGCTAGACCTCACACATCTTTAGCCACTCAGCAAAGATTAAGAGAGCTTGGCTGGGAGGTGTTAATGCATCCGCCGTATAGTCCTGATCTTGCACCTTCAGATTTCCACCTGTTTCGGTTTCTTCAGAATTCTTTAGGCAGTGTCAGGTTAACATCACGAGAGGACTGTCAAAACCAATTGTCGCGGCATTTTGATCAGAAGCCCCAAAATTTGCAATGGGATCATGTACAAGATGGCAAAAAGTTATCGAACAAAATGGTACGTACCTACATACTTCAGTTAAATGTAAATAAACTATATTAAAAACCTTGTGAATTTTCTTAAAAGAATGCAAAGAAACTTTTCCCCAACCTATTATTTCAATGTATATAAGTATGGTACCCATAACACAGCCGAGGATAGGCAGGAATGGCGCAGGATAATACAGGAGAAAATTGTTAGAGGAGGCCACGACCCTCGGCATTGAGGATTATCGACGCAAGGATGAGGAGGATGGTACCCATAACACAGGGATCCTAATTTGGGGTTCGAAGACCGTGCATGATTTCTTCTCAGTTATAAATTTATTTAAAGTATTGCAGACCTAAAAATCTCAGAGAATGCAGACAGACCACAAGATTACTCCTTACAATCTTCATTAGCTAAAACATCGAAGAGTGTAAATGATAAATTTTAGTGTATAACGATTCTGCAAATTAGAATTCGATTAAATTATGACTCACATATGATAAGAGCAAAATAATATTATACGAAGCTATTCTTTCCGATCACCTGCTGCGTGTTTAGGTGAGTTGTTAATTTTTTTCAGACTATTACGCACGATCAGAAACAAGCAAGGATGTTCCTTGTATCGGACCTTGCTCCACTTAGCTTTTATCTCGTGTATTCTTGACGAAAATATTTAACCGAACCGGAAGGTTGGATCTCGGAATTTTTACGGTAAGGAATTTTCGACATTATCCACTTGCGTTTAAATATTGTTTTGGTTCGTTGTTCATCGTCACATCGGATCTTTTTAGTCCTCTGTTGGCGACTATTCGTGTCATTGCAAATTTCATTAAACATAATTATTTTACGTTACAATTTTTAAACGATTGCTTTCTTCAGTTTTTGTCTTATATGTACATACTGTTATTTTTTTAACTCGCTCCATGACTATTACTGGGCCACAAGCACACGAGTAACGATCCACGGATTTAAAAAACGCATTGTTCTATTTACCAGTAAACAAAATTTAAGTACCTACTTAAAGAATAAACAGTTTCTAGGATCGTGTTTTCGGTTCTCACGTCGGGCAACTATTCGTTTGATGGTTATTCAAGTTCAAAGATATAGAGGTGCTTAATATCTTCTTTTCTTGCTCTTACATCACATCAAGTGGAGTCGGAATGTCCTCTTATCATGCTACAGAGAGATTTCGTATGAGTTTTAGATTACCCCACTGGTAAATGGGGCCCTCGCGGACGATCTCCAACACGATGGACCGACCTCATAAAATCTGTGACTGATCTGTGACACCAACATAAACGATTGCTCTCACTCTGCGAAACACGGTGCCACATGGCGTCGCATCGCGAGAGCATCGGTATCGCAGGATCCAACTGATGCATGACCACGACCACTCTGTAAAGAGTGTACGAATAGGAAGAAATAGGGCCCTCACAAGTTGTCTCCACTTCACCCTGTCTTGCGCTTACTCCTTAAAATCTCTCCAGGTCAGGCCAGCGGTCCTCAGATCATTCTCCAGGGTGCGTCGCCAAGTGTGTACATGGCGACCAGATCTTCTCCTACCACGCGGTTGCCAAACAAAAGCAATCGAAGCTGCGTTGACTCCGCTGTGCTGTAGCGTGTCCTATCATTAACCATTTGTGATGGGCAATATCTTCCACGTTGGGTTATGGTTGCATTTAGTCCAGAAACTCACCCTAGTTGAGTAATATCTTCATGTATTGCAATGTGCCTTATGTAGGTATTTTTTCTGTATCTTCTTTTGGTGCTTCTTTTAATTCATCCATATTTGGTTCTATGATTTGCATTTCGTTATTGTAAACATTTGGACTAAAATTTTTGATTTTCTAATAGTGAAAGATAAAAATATCACGTCATTAGTTGAGTGTGTATGAGACACACGAAATTTTAGTTGAGTCACGTTCTTGATATGTCTTTTAATATCTACCCTCATTTAAAAAACATTTGAGTAGCAGTCTCTGATTCTCATAGTAGAGGGTATCCTAGTTTATGGTTAAAAGGCCATGCGTGATTCGCCTCTCGTAAAGATTGTTATTATGGCGTGAGTCTACCAAATAAAAACCTTGTTCGTTGAAAGATCTTCGCTTTTGCCGATATTTAATAGTGTTGGTCTAATGCAGGACTCTGTAACTTGCTTCGGTGTAACGAAAGTAGGTATCCTCTGTGCTTGGCTCGAGTTTTTTAGTTTCTCGATCGTCTAAAAGCTAACTCAAATTTATATGGATTTGGAACAGCGCCCCCTAGCGGCAAATGAAGGGAAGCTGTTCCAACTCCATACAAATTTGAGTTATCTGTCGAGAACATACGCGCTGTAGGTAAAACATGTATTTCCCATCTGCTTTGTCAAGTGGCACCAAATGCGTGTTAATTTTCCAGAAAGTACCTACTTCTAATTTTATTGTCTTTTTTTTTCAAATTCTAAGATCAGTTTCCCGATTTATTTACTACAGTATTTACTACAAAAGCATTGGTATTCGGACTGTCTGTTCGTCATTAATTTATAAAATTTAAAATTCCCGTTTTTTTTCTTCTTAATTTCTGTGTTTACCAAATTTAAATTCCACATTATTAGTCATGGAATTTCAATGGATCATCGAATACATTTTAACGTTTTATGAGTATTAAAGACCTGGATGGAGAATTAATCACTCAAAGTTAATCGGTTTTCTTTCAAATAACCGGTACGCAGATGTTTTCGGAGAAAACCGGTTTTATAGGTTTTCCTAAAATCGGTTGACATCACTAATCCGTGCACTGATTTGTGATTGAATTACACTTGACGCGTTGACTAATTATGATCCTTGTGGATATGGGGAAAGGAGAGAGAGAGAGTATATTTCTTTTATTGTACGCCAACACACAATTCACATTCCAAAACAGTGAACTGTTATAATTTTACAAACAGGCGGTCTTGTCGCTAAAAGCCATCTCCTCTAGAGAGCGGTAACAATATACACATATAACTATTAGTACATGTCATTACGGATACTCCCGATCCATTAACTGTTCTTTTAGGAATCTCAAGCACCGGTTACCGTCCTCACCGAACCCGTCGCTTGCGACGAAAGTCCACTGAGTTTCTCGCAGGATCTTCTCGGTGAGTCGCGTTTCCGATCCGGTGGTAGATTCTGCGAAACACTACTCTTGCTAGGACCAGTGTTAGCAACACTTCCGGCTTGAGCCACGTGAGCTCACCTAGACGTTAGGGTGAAGCTGAAATAGCCTATCAAGGCTATCAGCACTGGTAGGAAAAAATACACATAGAGACTGGATTCAAACAACAGTAACGATCTATACATAAGATATGTATATAAGAATTATGTTTTTTTTATAAAGCCCTATAAATGTATTTTTGAGGTTCCTTTTTTAAACAAGGCCTAGTGTTCTAAGTGGTAGGCTCCGGTTCAGCTCTAGCCCTACCATTGTCGATGTGTATGATCATCGGTGACCACTGACCATTAGCAAAACTATACACTTATCCGGACAACGAAGAACAGATACGCATTAATTGGCAACTGTGTTTGTAATCTATCTATATATATAAAAATGAATTGCTGTTCGTTAGTCTCGCTAAAACTCGAGAACGGCTGGACCGATTTGGCTAATTTTGGTCTTGAATTATTCGTGGAAGTCCAGGGAAGGTTTAAAAGGTGAGAAAATATAAAAAAAGCTCGGAATTATATAAAAACAAACAATTTTGTTTTTCCTTTCATGTGTCCCCTTGATGTGTCTTTTATTTATCGATTGAGGCACTGCAGCTAGTTTGGCATATAACTGTTTAGCTTAAAGAAACTTGTAGAGAAAAATCGATTGAAAAAGCATTGGTAAATTCAATTTTAATATTTGTTGGTATCCATTAGAATCTAGTTTCACAGTGAGTTTTGAATATTTCGCTGTTTGTTAACTCAACGCTTTGTTGACTCTTTTTGGAACAGACGCTAGATTTCAAAAATGTATTGACATGCAATTCTGTTTCTGACAATCACAAGCAATTACAGCAATTTTTTTACTGGTGGTAGGACCTCTTGTGAGGCCGTATGGGTAGGTACCACCCTGCCTATTTCTGCAGTGAAGCAGTAATGCGTTTCGGTTTGAAGGGCGGTGCAGCCGTTGTAACTATACTTGAGAGCTTAGAATTTATATCTCAAGGTGGGTGGCGCATTTACGTTGTAGATGTCTATGGGATCCAGTAACCACTTAACACCAGGTGGACTGTGAGCTCGTCCACCCATCTAAGAAATATTTTTTTTTAACTTGTATTCGAAAGTGTTTTTCGTTTTCTACCTGTTATCGTAATATATCTGGGTATCATTAGGGTATCGTTGTTGTTAGCTCCTCAGATTCAGATAGTCATCTAGGTAAGATTTCCATTTCATATCAACGTTTGCGGGTATTCGGAAATAAAATTCATAAATAAGTTTTTTAATGTACACAATTTATTCATATCGTAGTTTTTCTTATACAAAGATAATAAATTGTAAAATCCTCCTTCACGGTCCGAACAATAAATTAAATAGTTAGTTACATACTCCCTTCAGTCCTATCACATGCCCTATAGGGCAATACTACGGAACATATACTGAAATACTCAACTAGCCTTCTTAGGATTCGACATTTAATGTTTTTGTATATACCCTACCATGTTTCGCAGTCACATCCTAACTCGATAGCCAACACACGATAAACTATTTACAAAATCTAAAACCATTTTTCGTATCGAGTTCGTCTGATTCGGCGACACGTGTTAAGGATCGACTTGACAATGATAAATAATGAATGAAATCGCATCTTTCTTCTTATAAATGTACAAAAATATTTCCTTTAGGTAGCTATTAGTATAAAGGTATGTATGTATTGACAAAGGCACTGGTATACTTATACTGAATATTAAATACAATCTGTTGACGTGATAATGGGTTTACATCTTAAATACATCGCGATTCCATCGACTCAGAGGATCTTTTTTTTTTTTGGTTTGGAACTTATCGGATTTCTCGGTTCGAGATATATACATATTTATATCCATAAATAACAAACTAAGTGGGACTTAATTAGATCTTACAAGCTATAACTTAGAAGAGAAATAGTCTTTAGCCATCGTTTTTCACTATCGAATCTTCGAATAGATGAAACAGATCTACTTCTATAACTTATATTACATATACATATCTCATCACTAAAAAATGCATTTTTAATTCTATCACTGAGTAGATACGTTTTATCTGCTCGAAAAGTGTGCAGTGTGAGGATCGGGCGTCATTGGAGGTACGCGCGTCCATATTCTACGAGTATGACATACAACTACTAGGAAGGGTTACGATAGGCGAGACGGCTTAGCCGATTACAGCTGCACGATATCATACAATATAACATCTCTTTACAACGTGGTAACTTGGTCAGCCGAAGAGCGGCGAGGGCGGCGAGGCGGGTGAGGGCGGCGGCCGGCGCGCTCAGTGCTCGTGCGCGCGGGTTTTGTTCTGGTGCATCATGTTCTTGAGCGTCGCCACCTCTGTGGCCAGCCGTGCCAGCTCAGCCTTCAAATGCGCGTCCTCCTCCTCCGGATGCCTCTCCGGTTGCGGTCTGTATTCTGCTCCTAGTGAGATCCCGGAGTCGCGCTCGTCGCTCGAGCCCTCGCCGTCCCAGGAGGGGGACGACCTGGGCCCCGGCTCCTGCTTTATGTGCTGGAGGGATAGCAGAGCGCTAGCGACGTCCTTGTCGCCGAGGTGAGATTTGTGGCGCAGTTTCAAAGGAAGGCAGTTGTTTTCTGGGGCGTACTGCTCGGCGGTCTCGTCTCCGGATCCAGATAAGGAAGATAGCTCATAAGGAGACGGGGCACGTCGAGATCTGGACAAGTTGAGAACTGAACCGGGAGGTTCGTAGTGGGCAGGGTGGGGGTAGTATGCTTCGGGTACGGGAATCCTTTCTTGGTATGGCTCTGGGGCGCGTTGTGGTGGAGGAGACGGGGGAGAAGCTGGTGGAGCTGGCGGGGGCGGAGGAGGAGCGGCCGGAAACAAGGCTGTGCCTGAAAGTTTACTCCTCTTTGTCACACATAGAACTTGATCACACGTTGGCAAGGTGGCTAAGACTTGGTCTATGCTTATCAAGCTTTCTCCACATATTCCGTATTTTTCTTTTATGGCGTCTAATTGTGCTTTGAGGACGTGGTTTTCCTTCGAGAGTTNTGGTGGAGCTGGCGGGGGCGGAGGAGGAGCGGCCGGAAACAAGGCTGTGCCTGAAAGTTTACTCCTCTTTGTCACACATAGAACTTGATCACACGTTGGCAAGGTGGCTAAGACTTGGTCTATGCTTATCAAGCTTTCTCCACATATTCCGTATTTTTCTTTTATGGCGTCTAATTGTGCTTTGAGGACGTGGTTTTCCTTCGAGAGTTCGACGACGCGCTGTTCCAGGACCATGTCGTTGAAGCGGCGTTTTTCGCGAGACCGCTTGGCTGCCTCGTTGTTGCGCCTCCTGCGGTCCCAGTAGCCGTCGTCCTTTTTGCTGTCCGGTATGAACTCGCGTTGCTTGCGTTGCCCGAAGAAGTCTTTGCGTTTGAAGTCGAAGGCTCCGTAGTCGTGGCTGTCGCCGCTGCTGCCGTTGGAGGGCGGGGCCTGGTCCATCGGGAAATGCGGCGAGACGGAGAGACGAGCGCGCGGTGGTGGAGGAGCGCGGGTCTGCACTGGGGCGGGCCCTAGGGCTGCACCGGCCCCTGCGCTCAGCAGCTGTTGCTGGCTCAGGATGAACTCGGCAACCATGTTTCGGCGGACTGTGACTGGTCCGCACGAATCCTCACTGTGGTTCTGCAACAAAAAGAGAACTAAATTTAGCACATGAAATATGCAGCCTTGCAGTCGTCTAAGTTCGTTTGCGAAACTGATTGCAGAAACCGTGTCGCAACCTCCCGCGGTGCAACTTTGCACGTGGAATCACCTTTGTGTAACTGCGTTGCCACATTTTAACCGCTTTTTACACCCTTCATGTTAGTCAAACTCATTAATGAATTCAGTTTCTTAACGTTCGTTATACAAATCGAGTTTCAAAGGTTGCGCTAGGTTTGTACGGTCACAACAATACAGTTGATCCGTGGCGGATTAATTAATCAAGCATGCTGATTATCGAAAATATTTTTTTTTACTATTGGCAATAAATAAAAACGTAGTAATTAATTTGTTAATAATTTAAACCAGGCCGATATTAATTTTTATTACTAAAAAAGAAAGGTATAACGGAAAAACTAATAGAAACTGTATGATTAACGTAATGAATCTAAGACCTTTGTATTGACTAAGACCGGAGATGAAAGGTTCGGACATATTGAATTTGGTTAACTAGTATGTACATATAGAAAACGAATTCTAAGTGTTCAGCTGATAATCGACAATTATGTGTACGTTCGAGACGGGATGTATAAAAAAGTTACACCAAAACGCATTGTTATCAAGTTTAATACCTATCCGAGAAAAACAATACAAGAATCATTTATAAACCGCCATTGTGATTACATTTCGAGCGACGCCATTAAATCTTGACATGTTCGTTTTTTTCTAAATTTCAAAACAATGTTATCAATACTGGCCGGTGTAAAAAAATAAGAAAGTCACGTTCCTTTCCACGCAGCCCGCGAAGGCAACGTGTGAGGCCTTTCCAAATTTTCAAATTATGCTTTTCAAGATGACATTTGCATACGTTTATATCTTAAAAATCTGTCAATAAACACGTGCCTAAGCTGTATTATACGAAATTACACATTCACGAAATACACGATACGAAGACATAATAAGAAAAACCTCATTAGACGGGCCTTAAAGAATAAACAGTTTAAATTTCGAACGACTCGAGAAAATTTTAAATTTACCGTTTTCCGATAGGTATTATTATTAATAGAAATTCGAATTTTGAATAACTAGAAATTCTATCGTGTTTTAACGGTCTGTATCGTTAGGCTGTATGATTATTGATACGTTCCGTTCGAAGCGGCATCGGCGACACCATCGGTGTCAGTGGGTCGACCCAGATGCCCGAGCGCACCCGTTACGCGGATAACTGTTCAACAAATAATCGTACAGACATTTAATTGGAGTTCATTGTCGATAGAAATGTCAATGGAGGCGAGCAATGCGAATTCTAAATCCTGTACTCATTAGCTTCACGAAGATTTTTGTGGCAAATAGCAATTATTCGATTATTTATACTGATTAGCTGAATTTCAAAATTCAAAACGTTAACCGTTACTTCTATATTGTGCAGTTAGATATAAATATTTAAATCCCTCATTTAAATTTTTATTGCGGGCTCAAACCTAAAACGGCCACATTTCATCACTGGTATTCTTTCCAAAAAAATTAAATAAGAAAAAAAAACCCAGCGTGTAACGGAAAGTTTTGTGAACACCCGCAATTTTTGACACTGGCTTTATTTGTATTGTCTGTGCCCGTTTCAAAATTTTGGAATTCGTTTAGTTTTTTTTTTCTTTACTTCCTGGTGATATAAAATCTAGTCGATTCTCTTAGTTATTCGATTGTGGATTAAAACAGAAAAATAAGTGTCCGGTTTGTACGTAGCCGCGGTGACGGTCGACGGAGCACAGACAGTTAAACACCGGTTAAAAAGTACTGTAACATTTTATATCTTCAACAGATAAAACTTATACGGACTACTGTAATAGAATAAGTACATATGCCGTCATCGACTTTTGATTACAGACTTTTATTTGTTGTTTAATTAATACAACACACGTGGTAAATACGACCAGATTTTTTTTTCTAGTGTTGCTCCATCATAATGTGTTGCCACACTAGAAACAGTGTTGTATATAAAATTTTATGTTTACGATTGCCCTGAACAGTAGAAGGTCATGGTTTTTCGATGACGTCACGCGTCTGTATCAGTACAGGCCGATCGCTAATCATCTGCTTATGTACCGCTATCCGAAAACTGGCGGCGTACGGTACAAGAAACGGTTCATTCGTGCACTTAACTAGTAATACTGTTATGAAACAGCTATTAAAATTTCGTCACCGGTTTCTCGAAGAGTTTATTTTCGATTCGAGGCTGTGTGTGTGTGTCTCAAAGCTGATCGATGCGATAATAAAAAAAAAAAAAGTTTCATTAAACATTTCGATGCTATAATCTGTGCATTTTGAGTAGGACCTAATTTTTTTTTTGTTGGTAATAGTCGATTCTCTCGTCGGACATTAAAGAACAATTTCATGTAATCAAGTTATCGATGTTCGTGGCGGCATGTCGGTCGTAACTGAGTCACCGTACAAAGTTCTTTGTATTTCACAAACACACTGATAACAGATTTATTTATATGGAGCATATTCGAAAGTTACGCAATATGAAAATAATTTAAGTTACAATGTGTTTTATCTTTCGTATTAACCCCGAGGTCGAGATTCGGTTGCGATGACAATCTAAACGAATATTTACATATTTTTATCACGTATGTACCCGTAACGGCGGTTACGTAAAACGGAACGTCATTTACATAATAATTTTTAATGGCACAAACAATTCTGCTACCGGCCGTTATCGGAATTCCTCAAAATCTCATTAATCTAGTGGTTAAGTAAGTGTATTAGTTAATACCGAGAACTAAGACTTAAATTACACGTTTTAAAAATTTTTTTTTTTTTTATTGCCATTGAAGTTAGTAGCCGTAATAATTTGAGGGTATAAAAAAAAATTACAACTAGCAAGTTGTATTCGAATTACAAATTTTGAATTTCGAAAATTATTGATTTTAAATATGATTGGTTGTTCCAGGTTTGTGTATCTGGAGAATGCTCTAGTATCGTGTGAGGTTAGGGCGAGATTATCCTAGCGGCGTGCGGCGCACGTGCTAGATTCTCGCGGCGGCGGTCACGCGGCCACAGACACGTGTCCGCTCTTGAACCTCACGTTGGACGTTGCGCAACAAACCGAAGCACGTTCGGTCTTCTCAGCGCAGTTACATAAACTGCAACGTGATGCCGAAACGTGAAAACTTAATTAATATCCATCGGATTTAATGGTGATAATGGACTTGCCCTTGAGGATCGAACTGCGGTCATTCCGTTTCGAACGCTCGCTCGTGGGAAATACCGAGTTCAAATGTTATCGAAAATGATGCACGAGACAATTCCAACGCCGAAGCGCTAACGACAAATAGCGCGTTTAAAAATACACGGCTTCATTCTTTCAGGCAACTTGAGTCAGGTCAAGGAATCTATAAATATACATCTTACTCAAACACCGGATCCCTTTGCAAAAGTTTTTGTTGTTCGCTCACGAACCATTAATTCGATCTTTCGCCTATTTGAATTCAATAAAAGCAATATAGATTCTATGGGCGTTAAAAATAACAACACTCTTGACCTCAGTTTAAATAATGAACGACGTCGGCCATCTTGGAAAAAGTAGAGAAAGTAGTACGTCGGTAACTTTCCACGCGCTTGACGTTTAATGCGCGGGAAAAGTAGGCTGGCCGGCCGCCATCTCTAATGACATTTTTTTACCACAGCTTAACAAGAAAATGCGATAGAACTAATTAAATTAAATTAGAATAAGTTTTTGAATCGATCGTGCCAATGATCTAATAGACGTTTGTAGGTTGGCGCCTACGTGCTCATTGTCTGTAGACGACTATTATGTCGAGATTAGAAATGTTTTGAAAACTTTCTAAGCGTTCTTTCGTTTGTTTTGTCTCAAACTAGGCGGGCTCCTCGACCTCTAGTATATTTCGACGAAGGTTCGACTTGAGGCACAGATACCTGGAAGCGTTTCAAATCTTTTATTTTCCCGTAAAACCCGGTATACTTGACCGATATTTTTCGAGTTTGCATCGCGAGACCCAATTAAACGGGCGGGAATTTATTTCGGGGCGGCCTCTATCGGTCGACTCGCGATAATGGTTTGGTGTCAAGGTTCCGTTTCGTAACATCCACGGGCGTTTGCGCGACTCGTAGTAAACGTGCCAAGGCCCTTATACGTAATGTATTTCCGGAAATTGTTTTTTTTTTTTTTCATGAATGATAATCCACGGAGCAGGCGTGCACGTCGTTACGGAACAAAGAGACCCGGTTACGTGACCTTCGTTTTATACCTGTAGCTAATTGTTGTTATTAAGAAACGTTTAGTCTGTTTCCGTGCTCTAGATTCGGAGAATTTTGCTTCGGTACCATATTACGTAACACGAAACGTGTTTTTCAAGGAATATCATAGGAGAGCGTGTTTCATTGTTTTTAATCGAATGACTCATCGGAAGCGTTACGGTATTTTAGATGTTTACGTCAGTTAAGAGATATTTAATATTTCGTACCGTATCTGAATTATTGCGAATCTATACAATTTTATTGCGACACAGTTCTAGTATATTATACGTGACAGCGCATCAATCAACACGTGGGACCTCAACGGCGGTCCAGTTTTGTGACAAACGCGCGCACGCACACATACGCACGCACACCGCGAAGTGGGTTACAGACGAACGAACGAGATAAAAAAAATAGGTCAAGTTATCTTTGCCCGTCCTCGCGTCGATGGAATTATCGTTGTTATTGCGCGTAAAAAAAATTACGTAAGGATTTTTCGGTATCGTGAAACGTACGTCAGGAGAGCTGCCGCGAGAATGACCAAAATTTCAAACAGCCAGTAAGCTGTTTAATTACGTAACCGTTTGCCGAGTTAATATTTGTAAAGATTTTTTTTTTTAATTCTTAATCTGGGTGATGGTCTTTTTGGTATAACGGCGCTGTCAAAACGGCTTTTCGGGCAATTAGTGACGCTTAGTGTTGTGTACGTGACCTCATTACTGTCGGGATGATTGTTCAGTGATTCAGTTGGCGCGGAAGTCGCTCGTTGGTACCGAGTGTGATTCGACTGGTTCTCACGTCGATTGACATTCTTGTGCTTCGATTTACTCATCGGTGTTATAAGAGAGAAATTCCCGAAGGAACATCCGATATTGTTTTGGCACGAGTTCTATATTTCCTTGTTCTATCTTGCCACAGTACAGACTCGACAGTGATACGACGAAATTACTTGTTCAGGTTTTTTGACATTCGTCGGAATCAGTTCACGGCGCGTGATAATAAAATGCACGTCCTGACCTCACCTGGTCTGGTAATGTCTTCCGGGGAACCTTGTTCTAAAGTTCCTGTATTACATCATACACAATGAATTCAGCGTTACTGCTGTTTATTTATTTGCTACGCCTCTTTGTGTATAAACGTAATCGATTTGAATGGAAAGTTTTGATAGCGGCCTTCGTTTTCTTTGTGTCCAGATAAAAATGGCGAATCGATACAGTATGAATGTAAATAACAACTATATGTTTCGGGCATATCGGTCGATAAGTGCTAAACGATTTCGTATCGGTACATTGACCCGAGTGTCATGACTTTACACGTCCAATACTTGAGTTGCAAATTGGCTCGTACCGTAAGCTTTTTTTTTCCTACCTAGCTGAGAGCCTTGAGAGGCTATTTCAGCGTAACCTTAACTAGTAGGTGAGCTCACGGGGCTTCGCAGAATCTACCACCGGATCGGAACACGACCCACCGAGAAGATCCGGCGAGAAACTCAGTGAGCTGTGTCTGAGGGTTCCGTAAGCAATCAGCGGCCGAATTCAAAGCACATTTGGTTTTAATCCGGCGTCTTTGGAACCTTGGTAAGGACAAAGGGACGAGGCGTTATAGATGACACACGCACTAAACTCGATAAAGCTATACCGATAAGCGTGTTATTCATAGCGATTCCTGTTATTATCTGTTTTACGTTTCATGTTGCAGTTAGTTGCGCAACCACACCGTTACCCTACGGGGATTGCGTCACGCGATACAGACTGGCCTTTACATGGGGCGATCGATTCCATTGCACCAGTTAACCGGCCGGTCGGTGTGTGAGCAGCGAAACATAATGCAACGGCAATTTTTTTGCAAATGACAAGCAACAATAAAGAAATTGTATTAATCGAATTTCTCGGGATTAAAAATTGGTTCATCATTACTGGTTGAATCATTACCGGTGGTAGGACCTCTTGTAAGTCTGCGCGGGTAGGGTACCACCACCTTGTCTATTTCTGCCGTGAAGCAGTAATGCGTTTCGGTTTGAAGGGTGAGGCAGCTGTTGTAGATGTCTATGGGCTCCAGTAACTACTTATCACTAGGTGGGCTGTGAGCTCCTCCACCCAATTAAGCAATAAAAAAAATGATGTTCGAAATTCTGTGGACACGGAGGTAGTATTTAAAAAAAAAACAAAATACCGCGCAATTCTTCGATAATGGAATTGATGTGAATAAAGTCTAGTTTCCGTACATCCGAGGCGATCGCACGCCGGCCTGGAACCTTGAACCAGTTGTGTAAGCGACTCACAATGGCTTACGACAGAGCCGCGGTGCCAGGTTCTGCTTACGACACACTGTGCATCCAGCAGTCGCGAACCGAGAGCGCAATACCACAATTACCCGTAAACCATTTAGAAAACATAATTCAAACAACGACAAAAAATTAAAATTTGCTATCAACATTAATTTTTTTTAAATATAATAACTGCGGTCCGTGAAAACCCGACTTTTGATCCAGTTTCGTTGTAAATATATATTCTTTTACGTCATTTATCATACGAAATTTTTACAGACATTTAAATTTAGCTCGGAGCAGATATAATATATTTTTTATCAATATACGGCTGTCTGGCGAGACAGAACAACACGGTCGTGTTACGTTTTAGCACGTTACGATAAAATACACTTTATCTGATACAATAATAGCGTACAGAAATTNTTGATCCAGTTTCGTTGTAAATATATATTCTTTTACGTCATTTATCATACGAAATTTTTACAGACATTTAAATTTAGCTCGGAGCAGATATAATATATTTTTTATCAATATACGGCTGTCTGGCGAGACAGAACAACACGGTCGTGTTACGTTTTAGCACGTTACGATAAAATACACTTTATCTGATACAATAATAGCGTACAGAAATTGTTAAACAATCAATACGTACATAAGACTTAAATTAATTTGAGCCTCTTAGAAAAAAAGAACACTTTTTTTTATAATAACGGTTTTAAAAGAATAATCATACGTAAATTTGTTGTTGAACAAATGATTAACATAGAAGTTTTGGCACGATATTGAAATACGTGAGTAAGCAAATTCGAGCGCGCGAAGTCATTGGACTTTGGTGCAAAAACATTTCTTTGAACCGAAGCGCTTTGCTCTCTATCAGGAAATTCTTATTCAGAAAATGATTCATTTCGTATTCCGCTGAAATTCCTAGTTCGAAATTTGATTTTAAAATATTCATACGACGCATTTTTTTTTGGGTATCCCGAACATTCTTTTAAGGAAAATTCTAATTTTCTAAACGAATTTAATTTTAAATTCGATTCCGCGTGGGAGAAACTTTCGGTTTCTGGTAAATTGTACGTTAAATGATTTATTTCCAATTAGAAACATCATTTATTTACAACAATTTTTTCTGAAGTAAATTTTAAATAAACGTAAAAAATCTCTAAATAAATAGCAATTACACGAAAGATTTCAATAAAGTTCGTTAGTTTTCGTAAACTTTTTACAACTACCTACCTCCGACAAATGTACGCGATTTTTTTTTAATTACAAAATTTTGGAAAAAAATGCGAAATTTGCCAATTAACGAATTTAAATACTTACAAAAATATTTGCGGTGTTTGAAAACTCCTTTGCTGGAATTATCCAAATGGCGGTCGAATTGTCAAAAATCCACAAAAAAAAACAAAAATCACAACCGCTCAACGGTCAAGATCACAGTTTCAAAATTTAAAATAGTCAAATTTCACTCCCACTTTTCACGTCCAGAAAAAATATAAATGTAAATTCACTGTCACAATGTTGTTATGACGAAATATCCAATGCGAATGGCGTTGCGTTGTTCCAATTGCTTGGACACGTCTACACTTTGCGCTGTCTGGAGTGCGACTAAATTTTGTAGTGGGGTCGTCGGAGACCCGGCCTGCAGCACTCACACATTCACAGTCTTGCGATGTGTGCGTTTAACTGTGCTCGTGTGCGTTTATGTATTAGTGTGTGTATTTACGTAACTTGCCCTGTTGTGTGTAATCACTTTAGTTGGCGGCGTTATTGACTCAATGTAGTGTCCGATTTTTTTTAGCTAATTCGCGATTGAGTCATGTGTACGGTAAAGCTAAAGGTTTTTTTTTTTCAGATTTCCTATGAACCAAGGAATCGATTGACACAGGTTTTCGGTACTGTTTAGTAATTTTGTAATGGCGTAATTTCTTAGATATTTTTCTTGGTTTACTTAAATTGGGTAATTTTTTTTTTCGTACGTACGTTCGCGTTCCGTAACGTTGTTTGTTACATTTTCGCACTGAATATTCAGTTTTAGAAATTTGCGCGTTACCAAATTCTTTGTTTCGATCGACTTTTACGTTTGATGTTTTGACACCGTTAATGTATTGGTTATGTATGTTATTAACGTGTGACGTTAATTTCCGAGTTGTTTATTAATTAAATTTAAGATTGTGGTTAATAAATAACAATTCAGAACATGTAATTCGATTTTTGAAATTAAATGTTTTTTTTTGTTTTTGGGACTGTTGATTCGATTTTTTTTGATGTTTGAAAGTTGAAAGGTCTACGAACTCGGGTTAGTGCGTATTTTGTCTACGACGTAGAAGTTAACGCCCTTAGAATGAGTCATCTACGAAAAGTACGACAGGGTGATCACCTTGCTTTGTTTAACGCTTGCCAGTCATTTTAACGAAATGTACCTACTCATCTTTTTTTTTAATCCTCAAGTGCAAGGAACAACATTGTAACTCAGCTTTAGCTAAATGTGATTCGCAATGTTATTCCTTGCACGTGTCGTATCCAAGATAATACAGCAGACGCCTAAATTATTTTGCAACGAAAATATTGTCTAATTCGATTTTTCCGTTTTCTTATATCTGCTGTAGACACTTCAAGCTAAATCTGTCTGATTCGTTTACATTATTTTTTTATTGCTTATATGGGTGGACGAGCTCACAGCCCACCTGGTGTTAAGTGGTTACTTAAGCCCATAGACATTTACAACGTAAATGCGCCACCCACCTTGAGATATAAGTTCTAAGGTCTCAAGTATAGTTACAACAGCTACCCCATCCTTCAAACCGAAACGCATTACTGCTTCACGGCAGAACTAACAGGGTGGTGGTGCACCTACCCGTGCGGACTCACAAGAGGTCCTACCACCAGTAAAAGATTCTAGGTATTTACTCTTCTACAGTTAACCTTTTTATCTTAAACGTAAACTGGATTTTACTGCTGTTATATTATTAGTTTTATTACACATGTATTGATCGTAATATAAATGGAAGACAGACTTTCTGAGAACGTTCGAACTGAGTTTTGTTTTATTATATCAATTTATTATTGCTTCGGATTTAAGTGTGCAATAATGGCGCACAATTAAACCCGACTGAAGCATTTGCTTACAGTACACATAAAATTTAAAAAAATCCATGGAACTTTTTAGATTTATTTGCTCTTAAAAAAAAACGACGGAAAATCGTTCTTGTATAAGAGTCGGGGACGGAATATGCAGACTACATTTAAAACAAAAACATAAAAACTTGTTTTCGTCCGTAGTTTTCCTCGAAATAAATGTAGCAAGAATTGTAAATAGCGTCACGTGCAAAAATCTAGGTACACGGCCCAAGGTCAGGCTCGTTTAGTGTTTAAAGCAGTTAGCACGAAAAAAGATAGGGCTCAGGCGGAAAAGAATAGATAAAACCCGGAAAACGTTATGTATTCACATTCATGAATTGAAATAATGAATTCAAAGGATGCGTTTTCTATTAAATAGTCCGATAATATTTTTTTTTTTTTTTTTTTAATAAAATCTGCTTTGGTACTCACTCCTTCGAAATTGCATATCAGTTTTTATATCGTTACGGATGCACCGAAATCTTTGCTTCTAAATAAAAAGAAAAAAAAAACTGCTTATGTCAAACTTCTTTTTTCCCGCGCTAGGTACCACCACCCTGCCTATTTCTGCCGTGAAGCAGTAATGCGTTTCGGTTTGTAGCGTGGAGCAGCCGTTGTAACTATACTGAGATTTTAGAACTTATATCTCAAGGTGGGTGGCGCATTTACGTTGTAGATGTCCATGGGCTTCAGTAACCATTTAACACCAATTGGGCTGTGAGCTCGTCCACCCAACTAAGCAATAAAAAAAAAGGACCGATGGTAATTTTTTTTTTAATTTTCCTCTAATATCCTGAGCGGTATCAACAGGTTTTCGGTTCGCTGTATAAGAGCGTTTCTTTTTAGTTTTTTATCATTTTACTTATTGATATTTTTACGCTATATATATTATTCAAATGACATCATTGCTTTGATTATTGTTTTTGAATACGCACACACGTGTGTTATGAATAATAATATGTGAAATGATAAAAGCTTACACAAAACAAGAGTTGGGAAATTACGATTAATATTATGAACAAAATGAAAACATCACAGACACATTAAGATAAACGGTTTAAAAACATATATTTTAACCGAGAAGATTAGTGTGTAAGCTGGAACTATGTGAACGAAGCACCGGGATATATTCAATGAATTATTTATTTATTATTTATGACATAATATTGAATGTATTATTGAACGTTTTGTGGGCAATAGAGGACAATAGTACGATCATAAATAAATATTAGCTAACGTTTTTATGTCATCGAATTTATTTTAGTTATACATTGAATTGGAACGTGCGAGAATCATATATTTGTTAAACTAGCGACCCGTCCTCGCTTCGCTTCGGAAACTGTAATTTATTATTCATTTCTCCACTATTTAATGGATGTTATTATACATATTATTATAAACCTTCCTCTTCAATCGCTCTATCTATTAAAAAAAACCGCATCAAAATCCGTTGTGTAGTTTTAAAGATTTAAGCATACATAGGGACAGAGAAAGCGACTTTGTTTTATACTATGTAGTGATGAGCAGGAATTTGTTGAATTTACTGGTAGGACCTCTTGTGAGTCCGCGCGGGTGGGTACCACCACCCTGTCTATTTCTGCCGTGAAGCAGTAATGCGTTTCGGTTTGCAAGGTGGAGCAGCCGTTGTAACTATACTTGAGACCTTAGAACTTGTATCTCAAGGTGGGTGGCGCATTTACGTTGTGGATGTCTATGGGCTCCAGTAACCCATTAACACCAGGTGGGCTGTGAGCTTGTCCACCCATCTAAGCAATAAAAAAAAAACATTGTGGTCTACAGACAGACATGTCTTATAAGCAATTGGCAGTTAATTTTCATAAGAAACGCCAGCCTTTATTAAAGTTTCATAACAGGAGATCCCTTCTCGCGAAAATTCTCAAGCAGTTGTATTGGATACATACAGCCTAGAGAATGTCTTACCGAACTGGTGATCTTAGCTCCAAATCTGTTCTAAATTTTGGCGTTCGGATTTTATATGCGCATTTATGTTAAATCTTGTAATTGTCATAGAAGCCACAGAGTTTTCGATTGCTTCTATATCACGGCAGCCATTGCTATAGTTGGTGGTGGATTATGCCCTTTTCTTTTTCGGCCCGTGGGCGCACCGTGTATGTGGGACTTCTTTTTTTTCGGCCCATGGTCGCGCGGTGTATGGGGACTTGACGATCTGAAAGGTGCTGGGAGCAGATCGCGGGCCCAAGAAATTTTAGGGCCCTACAGTTATGATGCCCTGCCATTGCCAAAATTCAGGGTAGATGGAAACCAATTTCAACTGGAGCAACCATAGTCTACCATCAGCCAATAAAACACTTAAATTGATAATATTAGTTACGAATATTTTACAGTTTCCATGGTCGTGGATGGCCGTAATAAGCTGGAAAGTTTTGATAATGTCTATGAGTTCCGGTAAACACTTAAAATCGGGTGGAACATAAGGTCGTTCACCCCTAAAAGCGATCTATGAAGCTTTAACATAAAAATATTATAATTTGTCGATCGTCATGACAAAGGACACATGATCCTGAATCTAAAGTAATATATATTCGGAGTTGATGAATGAAATACTGAAATTGACATCCTGTGCACGAAAAACATTGGCAACTTATACTTCGAGAAAAAAGAAAACAGAAATCTATACTAATGTATAAATCTACAGTGGTTTTTACGGATGTTCCGTTATAACTACTGAACCGTGCATCCGATTGACTTGAAACTTGGTATCCATGTAGAAAATAAATGTACTTAATGGATAGCCTAATATTTATATGAGTGTTGGACTCCCTAATAATAATGACAATAAATAATAATGTTACTTTTAAATGCGCAGCGAAGCGGGCGAGTACGGCTAGTGAGGGATAAATCTATATATTTTTGGAGTAGGGAAGTCATGTCATCTGCTTGCTAATCGCCAGCAAATCTAATGACTTCTCGAATTCGATTAATAAATACAGAACGTCAGTTTTTTATTAAACAACACATTAGAAAATATATTCAAAATGCGTATAGTTACAAATAAAATACAAAAAAGCATATCGCACAATATGCGGTGCGAAAACGTCACTTATGCAAACTGTTAAATTTTTCAGGATTCAACATCTAATATAAAAAATTCTCGTGTCACAATGTTCGTTCCCATACTCCTCCGAAACCGCTTGACCGATTCTCATGTAATTTTTTATTCATATTCAGTAAGCCTGAGAATCGGCTACTATCTATTTTTCATACCCCTAAGTGATTAGGGTTGTCCACACCTAACATTTTTTTTATATTTGGACTTTTTTTTTGTTATTTTGAGGTATTATGTGGTTGAATGAGGTTTTGTTATTTTTATTATATATTCCCTCATCGTTAACAGCACTACATACCTCTTTCACTCATTTACCACATCCTTACACACTTACAATAAGTTAGTTTTTTTCTACACTAGAAATTCCCTAGAAATCTTATATATGGCAAAACAATGTTTGCCGGGTCAGCTA